TTAGAAACCCGCAGAATGAATTAGTGTAATGAACCATAATGTTTATGAAACTAGTAATAAATCATGCTTTCAAGCTGTCCCAAAAGTGTTTTAATCTTATCTATATATATCAAGAGTGTTGTGAGTCCAATACCAGGCTCTTCAATTTTTAGGCTAATTTTTTCCTCCACATCTACTATATATGCTACCTGAGTATTATTCTGCTAGTTTTTATTGTTTTGTGTCTTTATTTATTTATAGGACAAGCTTATTTAATCTTGAGAAGCTACAGCTCAATCAACTGATATGGTTGAAATAGATTTTAAAGATAGCATTCTTGAGCATGACTCAAATTATGATTTTATTTGTTAAAATCAACATCTTAAGAGTTGCTTTTAGTAACAATGGAAATAGAAATAAGATAAGTTTATCTTATGATTGTACTTGCTGAAGTCAAACAAAAATTTTCTCCAAATATGTTCCCGGTTGAGATTCGAATTAAACTTAACAAAAGTTTTACCAAGAAAATTAAACTTGCCAAATTCTGTTCTTCAGAGATATATCTCAGCGACAGATCCTCCGTTGACAGAATTTCTAGTAGCTTTGACAAACAACCACGTGTATGTCATCATCAACATAAAACATTACACTGAAAACAAATTTAAAATCTTAGATATTTTTAATATATAATTTTAAGGTCAAAATACTATTTAATGTTGTGTATAATATAATAAGCCTAAAAATTAGGTATTTATCTTAGAAAAAATTATATTCAGATCTCATAAAAAAAAATTTATTATTAAAAATATCATAAATTTATAAAATACTCCTAAATCTCAAATTTAGTACATTTATAACTTGGCAGAAGTCATTTACAATTTAACAACCAACATTTACAATTTATTATTATAAATTGTTATTTTTTTATAAGTTATAAATGCGTGTTGTGAATTAATAAATGTTATTTATTAAATTATAAATGTGCAAAATTTAAAAATTTAAAATAATCTAAATATAACTTTCCTTTTACCTCGTTGTGAGGGTGGGAGGGATAGAGAGCAGTACACCCCACAGGAAGATTACCGCTTAGTGAGTTGTCTCTAGATTCATTGATGGGAAAAAAGGGGGACAGCGATGTCCCAAAAAAGCAAGTGTAACAAAGTGGCAAATATTTCATATAATAAACTACCGAAAAAAAAAAAAAGAGAAGAGATTATGCTGACACATGGCATAGTGACACCATTAATTTTATTAATTATAAAATAGTTGTAAATCATCATTGCACAACGAATTTCCCAATCACCTCATGAAACTTTCGCAAAGGGATTCATTTTCTTATCCTTGTATTATATTATGCGATGGTGCTGCAACAGAGGATTAAATAAAATTAAGGATTCGTTTAGTTTTTTAAAAAAAATAAATTTTTATTTTTAGAAAGTTAAAAATTATTTAAATAAAATATTTTATAAGAAATCACTTTCTGAAAATACATTTAAATAATAGTTGAAAATAAATTTTTTAAAAATGTAATTATTTAAAACTTTTGAAAAATATATTTGAAAAGTAAGATATTATTTGATCATACTATTTCAAATTTAATCTCTTATTTTTATTTAAAAAATAGTTAATTTATTAAAAATATAATTTTTATTTAAAAATAGTTAATTTATTAAAATATAATTATTATTTCAATAATAACAATTAGGTGTCATTTTTTAGCATTATAAATTGAATAATTGATCATGTTAATTTTTAGTATTAATGTATAATAAAAATTAAAAATATTTATTATATTTTCTAAAATTACAAATTAAAAAAAATATAAATAATTAGAGATTAAATTTTTAGCATTATAGATCAAATTTATGTTATTTAAAATATTTATGACATTTTTAAATATTTTAAATATATTATATTTGAAAGAAAAATTGTAAATCATCATAAATTAATGTTTCTTTGATAATTGTACATTCAAAAACATATTTTACTATCACAAATCAAATAACTTTCAGTGTATCAAACTAATTTTTAAAAAATATATCCAATATATTTTGTTATAACAACTGACTTTCACTAAACTAACTTTTATCAAATAGATTTTGGCCAAACTAAAAACTAAATGCACACTAAATTTTAACTTAATTTAAAGTTTAATCTCTTTTAATAAAGGAATTGGATTAGCCAACTCATAGTTCTATCAAATTCAGTTGTAAGTTGTAATTTAAAATTAACAAGATTAGACTTGATTCATTGATTTAGAAATGATCCGGTAGTTCAATGCTCACTTGATTTTTTTTTCCCTATATGAGAGATAACAATTCATTCATCCCTATATAAACTCAATTAAAATAATAAAATATTTTTATAATTATACAAAATCCATAACAATTTCTAACAGCGACAACAACAAAAAAAAAATTTCAATTACAATCCAATTGATTCAAATCCATAACTTCAACAATAATATCAACAAACTTAAGCAACATGTCTATTATATTTACAATAACAATTTAGTAGTAAATTAAATTAAAATTATATTAAATTGAAGGGCAAAATATAAATGAAGGAAATGATGAAGTTCAAACTTTAAACTATTCAAATATATAAAAAATAATTAAGATTATATTAAAATAATTTTATAGGACTGGATTGAATCAAGTGATCTAAAAATTTGGCCTCTTATTTGATTCAACCCGAGAAATTAGTTTGATCTTTTTTATCTCTTTAATATTTTGATCCAATTTTTTTACTAGACTAGATCAAACCGGACTTCTTCGGTTGAGACAAGACAATTGGACTTTTGCATAGTTCAGTTATGTGAGAATGTTCTTTCATTAATGATACATCAAGAGTAACAATATATTAAAAAAAGAGCTGCTCCTAAATACTATATTTTTGTATATTGTTCTTTCATTATTGCATACAAAAGTTTGCTATCTTACTACATTTTTTAAGTCCTCTTACCTCCCTAGTAGCCTTGGCAAACAATAGTTTGTCATTATTTGTAGATCAAATGCATAACATCTTACCATTTTGTACGTGTTTTTTCACATTGCAATAATACCACAAGAAACTAACCAATCAATTACAAATTTTTAATCATTCAACCCCCACACCCCAAAAAAAAAAAAGTCTTGTACATCAAATTTTTCATTACCTCTTGTACCAATTACTTCCCTAATCTTGAAATGCCCATTCAATTCAAGAATTCTTACTTGCTACGGAGAAGATTCTTTCAATCTTGAATATTTTACACGATTAAACAATTTTTTGGCTTTTCGAAAGTTCTTTTAGAACTTTCTGAGAGCAACAGTTATTTGGGGATCGCAATTTGTAAGATTTTACAAAAGCTTACCAAAATACCTTTGCTAAGGGCAAGTTTGGTGCACATTTTTTGTCAAAAGGTGCAAAAATACAACAGGATTCATCGAAAACTAAAACAAATATGTAAGAGAGGTAGTATATTTATCATCCAATTACCTATCGAATAGGATTATTTCAGTAAAAAAAAATACATGTACACAATTAAAAAAAAAAGTCTAAAACAAATCCTTTCAAACTAAAATAAACTATTTCTAATTGTTTGGGCCTAAAATAAAGTATCAGCCCAAATCACAAAAAGGAAGGAAAACTAAAATAATAAGTCCAAAAAATGACAAGGCTCGATCTATTAATAAAAGAGTCATGCCACTTACATTCTCAACGTAACTGTATTTATATTGATTAGGTATGGAAAATCATTATGGGAACATGAGAGCATTATTTGACATGTTACAAATATTATAGGGTCGTGTTGAGTGATCATATATATTTCATACATGAGCTCTGGATTCTTTAGGCATAATTGTCTCAAGTGAATGATTATAAAAAAGGATCGCAATCACAATCAACAGAGGATCATCATAAAAAATAATAGTTTACACCAAAAAAACCATCTCTTTTTTGAATTATTTACTTTGTATTTCATATTTAGATTTAAATTTATTTTCAATTCATAAATTGTAATCACAACTTTGTACCTTCTTTTCTCAGTAATTAAAAACACTTTTTTTACACTAATCTCTTTACATTTTTGCATTTAGATGAATTGAGGGAAAGGAGTTTAGGGATTTTATAGTAGAATTATGTTGGCAAAAAAGATAACAGTAGAACCAAAAAAATATAAGCGGATTTAAGACGTAAATTAGTTAAATTAATTTTATTGATAAATGAGAATTAGATAATGTTATTTTATAATTAAGAATAGATGGAGTATAATTTATTTATTTTAAAAAATTAGGTTTAATGAAAAGATAAATTCACTAACGATGATTTGGTTTAACATAAAGGATTAATCTCTCAAAATGAGGTGAACTAAGGTTTAAATTTTCATTAAAAGAGATACCCACATTTAATACTTGATCATGCTTTGAAAAGAATTGCTTTCAATAAAATATATATGAACAATTGGAAAAATAAGATAAATTCATTGAAACAATTCAATTTTTATAAATTCTTGAGTTTCATAAAAGTGAGTGTGTGTACATACATCTACATACTAATGCATACGTGTGTAAATATATGCACGCACGCGCATATGTTCACAAAATAAAAGAAAGAAAAGATAGGCCAAGACAACTAATGAATGAGTCTAATAGAATAATTTAATTTCTCGTAATATGTCAAACTAAAGTTAGAATTTTTATTAGAAGAAGTGTTTATATTTAATATATAACTGTATCTTAAATATGGTTGTCTTTAATAAGAGGATATATGTAATAAAAAAATAGATAGTCCAAGAAAAACATCTTGCATTATGAATATAATCAAAATTAAATAATCCATTGTATCAAAGGATAAAAAATCTCCTTCCCGCAAGAAAATAGCAAACGACCAGGCAACCATGTGTCGTTTAAGAATAAACGTTACAGACTTACGGTTTCCCAAGGGAAGCGACAACACATTGGCATCGTTTCCCACACTCCGCTCCCTCGCAGAGAAAACCGTCCCCCCACGCCCTCCCAAACACACTCACACTATCACATTCACGTCTCAGTGTCTCCATTTCACGCTTCTGAATCGCTCGGAATCAGAGAGAAAAATTCACTTCACAAATTCTCACCAAAATCGCAATAATTATGACTAAGCGATGCTCAATCTTGCAATCCAAACTCAACGAACTCGAATCCAGGCTTCGCGATGCCTTGCTTCTTCATGATCACGACGATCAACATCAATTCATCTCTGAAGACATCAAACAGAAATTCGTCTTCATTAAGAGTCTTTTATCGGCTGAGATTTCTTCTTCGCCTTCCTCATCGACGACGCCTCATCATCTGCAGCACGTGGGCCAGAGAATCCAACAGTTGGAGCACAGCTTTCTGAGATGGGACAGTTCCAGAGACTTCTCCGGCGGCGAAGAATTCGAGGTCGCTTCGTCTTGTTCTTGCACTGAGTCGTGCTTCAACGACGATGGAGGAGATGCCGGTGCTGAACTGTGCGTCGATGCATTTGCAGAACCGGAGGAGTTTCCTGACGATTCTAAGGCTATGGTGGAATGGAAAGGTGAAGAGAATGAAATTTACTTCCTTCCAATTTAGATTCTATACGAGTAACAACTTCCTATTTTCGCTTATGGTGATCGGATTTAATTTATCGTTGAACTGTGCTTTCGGTTTAAAAATTATTCCTAGTCTATACTTAGAAAATTTTGGGAATTACGCTTTAAATCTATGTAAAAGAGATTAAAAATAAATAAATAGATGAATAACAAATATTATATATATTCTTTCATTTGCAGCAAAACAGAAGTAACACATATTTGAACCGTTGTATTTGAACATTCCTCTGTTTCTGTGTATTGAAAGAAAATAATGCAGAGTATTAGAGAGGTATTCTAGGAGAGAGACAAAAAAGAACAATAAAGAATCAATATTCTGCCTTAATTCCGCCATTTTTGTTCTCTCTTTTAAATGTATCATTTTGTTGGTGAAAAGTATGATCTGCACTTGAGACTTGAAGCGATCATGGTAGAAACAGAGTACATTTGACGTTTGTTTGTATATTATCTGGTATGTATAACTAACCTGATACTATTTCATTCAATATGCAGAAACAGAGGAATGTTCAAAAGGTTTTGATGGTGAGCAGAATAAGGCTATGGTAAAATGGAAAGATGAAGAGAAAAAGACACACAAATTGGGATCTTTTATGGTCTATGAAGATGCAAGAGATCACTTTCTTGAAGCTGAAGGCCTTGATCACCATGGAGAATTGGTGAGTGGAAAAGAATTAGGGAATAATGATGTTACATTAAAAAGTATTGAAATAAGAAGAGAAGAGGGAAAAATTAGTACAAGAGAGAATAACAAGACAAGTAGTGAGTTAGGGCATGTTTGTGGTGCATTGTCTTGTGGGTTAGTGCTTGGTATGGTCTTTTCAGGGTTCGTGATGCTCAGATTTTCAGGCTGCATTCATTTTGTGGATCAATCATATTTCCCAATCCCAACCTAGGAAAGCAACTCGGTGGTTAATTTTAAAATTTATGAAGTTGTATTTTTATTTTTATAGCTTCGTGTAATTTCATTTTGGTGTTAATAAATTTTAAAATATAGTTCTTCTTCTAAGTTATAAGTATGTGTCATTATAGTTTTGTTAATATTTTATTGATTAAGTGATGATAATTTTGGTCCTCAATTTTACCTTATTTATAATTTGATTCTTGTATTTTACTTGGTATTAAATAAGTTCTTAAAGTTAAAAATTACCTAAATATTTAATTCTCTTAATCAATACTGGGCAGTAATAATATAGAAAATTGATCATGTTGGTTGCATAAGGTAATTACTGTTATGAGTCCACGGTGTTAATGTTTCGTATTAATAGTAGGGATTAAATCTAAGTATTTGAAACTATAAATTATCCCTATTTTGTAATATATGTCAGTTAATTTTATATTTATCTATATTTTTACTACTTTTAATATTAATCATACATATTTAGAGTGTCAACATCTATATATACTAATTTTTCACAAGATAAAACTTAAGTTTCTGACTCCCATTTGATCCATTGCTCCTATCACATTTTGCCAAGTAATTTTTTTTTTTTGGTTAAAATCCATTTTTGCCTTTGAACACCAAATTTCTTGAACTCAGCTTTGTTACATTCTTCCCTTTAAACTTCCAAACCTAGACCATTCTTGTCCTTGCCATTAACTCGGGGTTAAATTTGACCAGTAAATGATAATGTGGATCAAACTATTTGAGTTTTTTTGCTAATGTGTCAAGAAGCCCTTGTGTTCATATTAGCATTTAATGGTTGAACTTAACCTCAACTAATAGCAAGGGTAAAAATGATCCAGTTTTAAGAGTTTAAGAGGAATAATATATCAAAGTTAAGATTAAAGATAAAAAATAGACTTTGACCAATTTTTTACCCATATATGCATTTAACCTTGAGGCTTGTCAAACCACTGTTTACGCCTCTAATTTCCAGGGAAGAAATAAAAAGAAATAACTCCCTGCTTTCCAGGTTTAATTTTCTTAATAAGTTCATTTTTTAACAAATGTTAAAATGTCAATTTGTTATAGGAAGAGCACAAAAACAAGCGCTTAGCAGTTAACATACTCTTCTTTAATATATGATACTTGATGACATATGAATTAAATTTTTTCTAATATCACTCTTATTTAAACACATTAACCATAAGAGAGAATTTAATCACTAATAAGGGGAAAAAAGCTTTTTAACCAGTTAAAAGAACTATTTTTCACTAGTTAATGAAGATTTGAATTTTTTTCATTTAAATGAGTAAATTGTAGAAGTTAGAGATGCCTGATTACAATAACGACGAGAAAAAGTACATGCCAAGCAAAGACATTAAAACTCAAAATCTCGAATTTTAATATATGTGTGGCGCACACCTTTTTTTTTTTAATTATCTACATATATTTTTCTATTAAGAGATAATTATATTCGATATACACACATAAATCTGAACAAAGGGATTCAATTCCTTTCATGCAATATTGAGCATTTGTGACAAATACAGTATTCCTTTTATACGATTTTTAATATTAAACGTACATATCTGCAAAAATGCAATATTCTCTTAACAATAGTTCTTTCTTTTTTTTTTTGGTCCAAGGTATCCACTGTCGGTAGCAACAACTAATCCCTTCATCGTGGGTCTCTCACAAGAGAGCAAATAACTAGTCATAAAATGCTCTCCATTCGCATGAGTAAGGAATCAAACCCCCACTGTATATTTAAGGAATGAAGTAAAATAGCCACTATGTCACACTCACATGATTAACAATAATTCTATTCCTTCATATCTCCACCCATCCCTAGCCCAATTTTTGCGTCCTCTGCTTCCCTAAGCCACCAGTTTTGACCACAGACCACTCAATCATGAACTATTAATTTAATAATACTCTCTTTATTTTAAATTATAAGACACTTTAAATAAAATCTCACATATTAATAAACATTATTAAATATACTTAACAACCTTATCGTTTTAAAACAAAAATTAAATGTTTAAAAATATTTATAATTTAATATATTAAAAAGAGAAAGAATAAAAATTAATTATAGAAAGAGAAAAAAACAATATTAAAATTGATGCCTTTATTAAAATTTTAATCTTTTTAAAATTTCTTATATTTTGAAACGAAAAAACTCTTAAAAATGTCGTATAATTTGAAACGAAGGAAGTATCAAATAATTACACATTTGGTATATAAAAAATTATTTTTAAAAATAAAATAAAAAATATATACATAAACAAAATAAGATAGATGCATTTATCTTTTCCTTTCTAAAAAATACACTTTTCTGCTTACCAAACATTTGCATAAATAAGCGCTAAAATTTAAGCAATCATACAAATGATTTCATTAGTTATACAAAAAGTCAAGAGATTTAGTATTCACTAATAATAATTTGCATTTGTAAACTAAAAGAGCGAGTGACATGAAAAAGAAATTTAGTGTTACTGACTCAATAAAACATATTTTGACCAGGCGGACCAAGCGCATAATTTAGGACTCCAGTAAGTTAATGAATCAAAACCCAAAAATTTATTCAGTTACATTAACTAGGAGAGGATCTGGCCCCCAAAAAAATAATTAACACTCTGGGCATGACCATTCAGTCATGGAGGGAAAAAGCATGAGAACCCAATACCTACTTTCACTATCCCAGATCACCAACAACTAAATATAAATATCCTCACAACAGATATTTCAAGATAAAATTTCTAATTTGAACCCTATTCCAAAACTTGAGCTTGCATGAGCATTAAAGTGCAGAAACCAGATAACCATGAAGCATAAATAATGTTGCCGTCCCGTTCATACCGTGAACCATCTTGTTTTATGAGACATTAGGAAGGGCACCTTTTCTTGGGTAGCTGCTGTCTGATCCTTTTCAACTAGAGAGAAATCTGAGCTATGATCACCATGGCTTGCATATCTCTCAAGATCTAGTCACTGTGATGACAGACATTACCATTTTCACAAGTTTTCACATCGTCAGAAGCATCGGTGCTTGGCCGTGTAATGCAAAGCCAAGTTCTTGAGGATTCTTCATTTCTATTGCCTGTTACAACTGGCACATGCCATGATCCTTTTTCTGATTCCTGAAACAAAAAACTCAATGTTATCGAATTTTGTTCTGAAATTAACAGTTTTCAAACACCCATAAATCTATTGAAGAAGATTTCTCATGGTCCCCATGCATAACAATCATGAAGGTAGTAAGTACTCAACAATGATGAAATTTAACCATCCTTGCACTATGAACAGATAAAATCACCCTAAATTTGGACTTGTACAAAGAGATGCTATAGTTTAGTTGATGACATTATTTCAGTCTGGATAAAAATTACAGCTCTCACGTGATTAAAAAAAATATACAGCTCGCATGTTGAAGACAAATACAACCATCATCACGAAAAAAAAAAAAAAAAAATTCCACCATAAATGAAGCATCATGTGAAGCCGCATGCACAACCCTGCACTGGCTATTTAGAGAAAAAAAGGCATTGTTTTAAGCATATAATGAAAAAAAAAAAACCAGAGCTTTGGATAATAATGTAAATCTTCCCCTCACATTTTCTTAGCAAAAAAAATAGCAAACATCAAAATCAAACTCCAAAATATTGAAAAATCTTGGCTGACAAACAACAGAGTACAAAAGCTTAGCTAGCGTAATTGAATGATAAGATTATATAGCATGCCTGTCATATAACTGTTTTTTTTTTTTTTTTGGATGAAAATGTCATATAACATATTACCTGAATAACATATGAATATGATGGAGGCATCAGAAGTTTAAGATTTCCTTTAACAAATGTGTAGTGAACCTGTAGGTAAAAATTAATATAGTCGGCTTGTCAAAACAGCAATGTTTAAGGGCATCTAATACTCAAAACCCCATGGAACAAAGTACTAATTATGTAAGCATAAAAAGTAATTAGTTGAGAACCATAACATTTATTGTTACCAGCATGTTCCCCGCATTGCCCCAAGCCCACCGCTAACACAGGCAACTTTAAAAATTCTTCAATTGAACAGAAAGCAAACTCAATTTACCACTATATGAGTGCTCATGTCAATCATATACTATCTCTGTAAATGGAAATAATAAATTAGACATAAATTCCATCTACTCCCCTGCTCCACAAAAGAATCAAATTTACAGACTTCTCAAATTAGAATAAAAAATGTCATGATGTTACAAGTAACTTTCGATGGAATTCACCTGATGTCTTTCTTTCCACTGGTTAAAAAAGCTGCTTCCTATAAGTTCAAATATGTGGTCACGCATTTCATCATTTGTCACAAGCAAGCACCTTAATTTTACAGCAGCATAGAGCCAATACCTGATATCCATGCCCATAGAAAATTGAGCAGCAAAAAATAAACCACAAGACAACAAATGGAGTTATTTGAAGAGAGAATAAGCACAACATTGATCAAAAGATTCAAACCCAAAATTCAATCTTATTTGCAGATCAGTGCCTTCAAGAACTAAAGAAGTACAATATATAATGAATGATAAATAAGAAGATGGGGAAAGATTCAGGTAATTCAAGAAACAAGATTGTGATTCTGGGATAAAAACTTAAAGACATTTTAAATGACATTGATTCGGAAATTACCAATCATCATTAGAGCCATTTGGCGTCGTATAGAGTACACCATTATCCTTCCATTCCTCAACCAATTTTCTGCTAGATGGATTTTCTATCAGCCCTCTCATACGTTTGTTGTGCACGATAACTAGCGGCCATTTCTTTTTACTCCTATCATATAGTTTCCTCACAACATCATCAAGCTGCACAAATATAAAAAGGGCCAACATAAACAGGATTAGTTGCACAGAATTCATTAATATATGAGCTAAGTCTGATATTTTATCTAGTTTTCTTTAAGGAAAAAACAGGGAGGGTTGTAAGAGGATGCCCATAAATTATTCAAAGAACCTGAGAAATACTAAATCCACCCTCTGCAAAATTTTGCTGGTAAAGCCCAATGTTTGCCCCATCCACTATAGCTTCAAAGTCTGCATGTTCTTCAAGCCAGCCCTATAATAGAAGATGCCAGAAAGACAGATGAGGAAAACTACCCAAACCAAGTCACAAATATGTAGGGATGTGATGAGATCAAAAATTTGCATGAGTCAGATAAGTTCATTTCCACATAAGATCCATTAGCACAAGAGGGACAAGAGGAACACTTGTGGGCAGGAATTCACTCACCTGAAACTCTCTGAAATTTTCCTTGACCTCTCGTTCCAATGCCAAGGCAGCAACAGACTGAGCGAATTTCTCTGTTTCATCATCATTAATGTCAACACAAGCCAATTGCTCATGACAACAACAACAATGGCCATTTGCATCAATATTAGGTTTGCATACAGCCCATTTCCCTTTTCCAATCCATCCTTGCCCATGCCACCCTCCTCCATTCCGTCCAATTCCATCTTTGACTTGTCTAGGATCCAAATTTAGCTCACCAACCTCTGAAGCTTCTGCACTTTGAAACCAGTCTTCAATAATCTGTGAAGTCAATTCACTGACACACCTTATGGAGCTTCTGAGCTTATGTAAATATTCATAAACTCTCTCTGCTCTACCTTTCTTCACACTGACCTTCAAAAGTGCAGCAAGCTCTTGTTCCTCCAGACTTACTCCAGCTGCACCCATTTCTTTCTCAACTTCATAGGCTTTATCAGCCTCCAAATGATCACAAAAGCAGAACAAAGCAGGATCAAATGTTCGCAATCGAGGAGCAACATTGTACTTTCCCACACTCTTAACCAATTCAAAGGCATAGTCTCCATCTCCTTTCGCTGCAGCTAGCCTAGCAACAGCTGTGATTGAAGCCTCATTAGGATTGATGCCAAGAATTGACATCTGATCAAAAACACGAAACCCATAATCCAAAGATAAGTCTTTGAGTGACATGTCAGCGACAGAATTGGAACAGAGGTAGAGTAAGGCATTGAAGTGATGCTGATTAATTCTTATTTTCTGTAAAATGGCGATTTCATATAGGGCGATTGCACCACGCAAATCCTTGTTTTTGGAACAAGAATTCAGCTCAAATTGGAATGTCGCCTCTGGAGATTGATGGGTCTTCTTCCTCTTCTTTGTGTTTGAGTAGTTTGATGTATCCATTGATGGATTTGATAGAGGGGTTAGCATCCAGACTTAGAGGATTTAAAACCTCAGATGTTGTTTAACAATCATCAGAAAACTGCAGTGAAACAGTAGACAACAATCAATACCCACTGGCAAATGCTAGACCATTTTATCCAAAAGAAATCAAATTCCAATATAAGTTTATGTTCTGCAGAAAATTAGTAATAGAGATAAAAAAAAGGTGAACAGTGAGGTATTGAGAGAGGAGGTGGAATAGCTTCATGAAGGGAGAGGACAGATCCATAAATGAAGAAGAAAAAGCAGGTGGAGGAGAAGATGGGTAAACAGCAAGCCAAACACGGATGAAGGCAGCGGAAGCCAAACATCAAAGGAAGAAAGACATAAACCCACCATACACAACGACGAAGGTGACAGTCTCCAATGAGGAAGGACCCAAATCTCTGACTCAGGAGACCAATTGAAGAAGAAAAAGGGACCTGAGGTTGTGATATGTCTAATTAAAATGAACAGTAGGGATTTTATCAGTATGTATAAAAACTAGTAATCAATCCTATCCTAAAAATCTAACTATATATCTTTTTTTGAAAAACACACAACACAACCCCCCAAGTTTGAATAAACTGCTTATAGAAATTAAAAAGATTAATTTCTGATTTACTAATATCTTGTTTTGTGCACAGGGGCAGAGCCAGAATGTAAGGCATTCCCAGGATTCCAGAAACATGCAGAACCAGTGAATAACCGGCAGAATAAATATTCACTAATAACACATCAATACTCCTAATAATACTCAATACTTGTTTCAGTAAATAAAAAGAGCAGAACCACTTTCAGAATTCCGTATAACACATTACCACTCACACTCCTAAACCCACTGAAAATAAGGACCCAACTCACAGAGCCAAAGCAAACGCCAAACGCAGAACCACCATAGGGATTCAGTTATGCAACCCAAAACACCTATACCTGACTGGCTGACTCGAGGAACCGGTTCGACGAGTAAATGTCAAGCGCAGAGGTAACAGGCACGCTCATATGCAGGAGTTGGAGCACGGAATCGACGGCCAAAACCCTACTGAAACACTAACTAATATCAGCATTCCGATTCCCAAAATCGCATTGCATACCAGAACAAAATATTCACAAATCAAAGTCCAAACTGAAGAATAGCTATTCCATTCTCACTTTATAAGTTCCGAGTAGAAGAACTGAAGAAGCAGATTAGAAACGACGACCACGGTCTAGGGGCGCTGCAAACCTATGGAGGAGACAAGAAGTCGATGAAGTCCGAGGAAGCACAAACTGCAAAGTGCGAAGTGCAAACCGCAAACTGAAGGAACTCAAGGAAGAGAGAAGGAAATTGAAAACGGTGCGTTGCGGCTTGTATATGTACAATTGTACATATACATATATGTAGGCCGCGAATCTTTTTCTTTTTTTTGGGCCAAAATTCCCCAGATTTATTATTTTAGTTCGTTAAAAATAAATGATAGTTTTTAAAATTTTTAAAATTATTTTAATTTTTTTATTGTCATTTTATTTAAGGCACAATTAGGTATTAAATGTAGCACTTTTAATAAAAATTCAAACCTTAATTCACTATTCTATGAAGGATTAATCCCAATGCTATTGGTAAATTATTTCAACTTTTCAAAACTACATTTATATTAAAATTTATTTATTTTTTAGTCAAAGTTATTTTAATTTATTATATCCCCACATTAATTATATTTTAATATCTTGTTCATTTATTTTTTAACTTTAATTATATGAAGGGAAAATTTAAAAAAAGTAATATTCCCAGAATTCTCTGAAGTCACTCATAATCAGGGAAAAATTCTTAAAAATAAATAGAACCAAAGAGAATGACTTGAAAGATGTCAAATATGCATGTAGGGAATTTATCCTTATAATCGTGAGCCTATTGTTTTTACATTGAGTAGAGAGCCCACTTAAAATTTAAAAAAAAAAATATTAAAAGACAGAAATTTAGTTTGAAAATGACCGATAATAGACCATTGGTAATTTCCCCAAAAAAAGAAAAAAAAGACCATTTGGTAATTTTTAAATTTATTTTTCATTTGATAAATTTATCATTATTTGCAATATAAGATATGGTTAAAATTTTCAAACTATGCCTATTAAAATGAATATTTCATCAACAATTGTTTATCTACAATTCTTTTACCTATATAAAAGGAGAGGCTAAAGCTGGTGAGACTACATCATCTATGTGATCGTTCAAATGGGATCTTTAAGATCGTTTGGTTATTAGAAAAAAATAAAATAAAATGAAATGAATTAAAAAAATAAAGATAAAAACAATATGATTAAAAGGAATAGGGAACCACATTCATAAAGAAGGGTAGTAATTTAATTCATGGAGTTATGAATCATAATTCATAAAATTTTTGAAGAATGTGATGATTCTCACATTTATAGTGTATATTAATGAGTTTTATCATATTTATCATGAAGAGGAGGAATGATTTAATTTATTTTTGTATTAATTTTTTTAATCAATTCAATTCCATTTCATTACTTTCTAGTAAGGTCACGTTTGGTTACTATAAGGAATGAACTAGAATAGATTGAAAAAATAAACTTGAAAATGAGATAATAAAAAATAATAGTGAACCATATTTATATAAGAAAAGGATAATTTAATTCATTTGGTTGGGAATAATAATTTATGAAATTTTGAAAGGTATGATAATTCTCACATTTATACTATATGTTAATGAATTTTATCATACTTGCTATGAGAAAGAAGAATTATTTAATTTATTTTTAGGTTAATTTTTTTAATCAATTTTATTTCATTCTTTTTTAGTAATTAAACATGATGTGTTTTTGTGAAGGCAATGAGTATCCTAACTCGTAAAGCATTGGAATCTTTACTTGAATTATATGAACCGCTACCTACGGCCCGTTCAATTACGTACTACTATTGTGTGATAATATTACATCAACTATACCAAGTTCCTTACTAATTTGCTCGATCCGATTCAAAACTTATTTTGGGCCCTAAAAAGCCTGTAATTTCCAATGGGCTCTTTACAAAGTGAACCCAAGGCAACTTCATTTTTGAAAGCAATTATGTTGGAACTTGGAAACATGATCCCTGATAGATTTAAATATTTATTCATGACATTATGAGAAAACAATCCTTTATGCTAAACACAACTTCCAATAAAAATGGGCTAACACAACCCCCTACACATGATAGACTCAAGCCTAAAAAGAACAACCTGTTAAAGCCCACTTATCCTTTAATGACCTTTACATAGTAACTTAAATAGTGGCTTAAGGCTAGCCCATAGGCTTCGACCCTTTTTATCCCTTTTTTTAACATTTTAAAAACACTTCAATGAGCTCTAATAGGCTAAGGAAGTTTCGTTTAGAATTTTGTTCATATAAAAAACAAAAAAAAATAAAATAAAATAAAATAAATGCAAACTTAAATGAGCAACCCTAAGTGTGTGTGGGCTAACCTGCTTAAAATAGGGCCCATTAAGACTAACCCATTCAAGCCTGTTTTACAATTTCAGCGTCGCATATGTAAGCCCAGTCGTCCTATTAAATGGCATCAATGGGCAGGCCCGTCGGGCTCAACCTGTGTTTTCCCAGCTCTTCACTTCCTCTTCCGCCTCTGGTTATAAGGGACCAAATGCAGTTCATTTGAAGACAATTGGTGAGAATATGATAGCTGGGGTAGAAATTAGTCTGCTCCATACAATTAAATTATGGCAATTTCCAACATTATCATACCAAGGGTCTATGAATGAAATTAACAAAAATCGTGTCACGATCAACCTTGTATACTTGAAATTTGAAAATATTAAACACGACCCAATAATCATTAAAAAAAAAAAAATCAGTACTTGACTGGAGCAAGGATTTCCAGTTGGGAACCCAGCTTTTCCTCTGCAATTTTCTCAGCCTTCAACCTCAATTTATTCAGCTGCTTCTTCTTCTCATAAGCCAATTGTGCTCTCTCTTTTCTTTTTTTCTCCAATTCCTAAATAAAAAAGTGAGAACACACACTTCAGCGCACATTTCTGTTTTTGGCTGGCATAAACCCAGACAAATCAACTAAATCAAGACAAACAAAACGAATGAAGTGAAACCTTCATAAATTATAAATTTTATAATCAACACAATGTTCCATATAGTCTCGTCTTCCAGCAAACAAGAACCCAATCACGCATCAAACAACATACTCCCTAGTCCCTCCAGTCCCTTTTACAAGGCACTTTTAACTACCTCACCAAAAAATTTTTTTTTTAAAAAATAATTATTAAATTATTAAATTATTAACTTTGTCTGAAAAATAGACTAAAATTCCAATTTTATCCTTATTTAAATAAAAATTTTTAAAGTTTGTAATACATTTTCTCTTAGTTAACAAGCTTAAATAAGGGTAAAATATTGTAAAAACGTAATTAATATTCCATCAAATACTTTATATTAAGGACCAAAAATTTTTTTTAGAAAACACCTTATAATAGGGACTAAAGGGAGTATATATAATTTTTACGAGCACGTCAGGCTCAATTTTTTTATTTTTTGAGAAAAAGTGTTTTCAAGAACTCAAACTTAGAAAGCCTGCATACCAAACGACATCTGAAGGAAAAGATAGAAATACCATTCAAGAACAAGCTGAAAAAGTGGCAACTTACCCTGATGGTATCATAATAGTTCCATCCAACTTCGGAAGACAATTTACCCACCAAGCAGTACTTGTGTCCTTTTTGAAGCCTCAACACCCTGATTTAATAATTTTGTTGAAATTTTATTAGACAAACTGACAAAAGACATTTTAACAGACATAAAATTCAGCACAACTGAAACATTAAAAACTAAGGCAAGTAGATCTTACTTTAGGGCATCAGGGACAACCATCCTCTTCATTTTGTCATATGGTGGAGGTATGCCTTCACAGACCTTCAATCTTGCAAGAGCCGCTGCCCCACGCTTTGTCTTATGTGGTATCATTCTAAATTTGAGAAAACATAATATATCATAACAATGAAAGCAACACAAAAAGAAGTATGTCAATTTGCAGAAAATAACAAGCATGAATATCTCCTTTTATGCAAGGACATGTGATGGGTTGTCAAAAAGCCTTGAGCCCATAACACTGGGGAAAATAGGTTAACCCAGTTGATCTTTGAATCATCATACGGTAAACCTTAAAGGTGAGGAATTCAAAAATCCATCTAAATATCATGAGTGGTAATAAACAATTAATTCCATGATAGTAATTCAAAAATCCATTTAACTATTTAAATTGAACAAATATATGCTTAACCAGGAAATACGTCCAGTCCAGTGCTGTCTAGAGGAATATGAGAACTGCAGAATTACACCACCACTAAGAGGTCCACGGAAATAAAAACTCATTTCTTTTAGGAACTAATAAAAACAATGCAATAATCATATACAACAATATTATATCAAACAAGAATTAGGAAACATGACAGAACGAAAACGAGTTGTATATACAGAGTGTATATAATTACTGGATCAGAAGCTATACAGAGAAGAAGACACTTAAATAGCTGCAAATAATAGGACAGAACTCAATAATAATATTCCCCTAACGAAGTACGGTGGTAGCATCCTAATGGCAGGAGATTGAACCACTAGAAGGAAAAGCATAAGTCAAGAAACTGAAAGCAGTTAGATTGGTCTGCAATCATCATTTTATTAGCACAATGAGTATATTTCCTAGTTCTGATACAATTAAGAGAAATAGAGAATTGAGTACCACAATGCTTAATGAAACTCACCCACGAACAGTGCGCCAGAAAATCTTGGAAGGGGCACGAAAGTGGATGGGGCCATGAGAAGGCTTAGTATTCATCCGCTTGCGGAGGAATCGCATGTACTTCATCTTCTGACGGACCAAGCCACCGGAGATGCAAATCTCCTCGCACCGCACCACCACCACCTTCTGGCCGTTGAGGAGCTCCTTGGCCACAATCGAAGCGAGCCTGCCAAGCATGTGGTGGCGTGCGTCTACCACCACGCGCTTCGCGCAAACGCCGGACCCTGACACCATCTTTCTCTCTCCCACGCAGTCTCCTTTGGTTGCCAGAAAAATGGAGACTGAAGGAGGAGGCGACGGAGGCGCTCGCCATGACCAGCTAGGGTTTATGTTGCTTTGTTCCTTTTTTTTTTCAATCTGACCAATTTTTGGGCTTTGTTGGGTCAAGCTGATTTTGCACAACACAGTTTCAGCTGAACCTTATCGTGGCCCACTACAAAGTATAAGCCCAAATTTGGAGTCGGTAGAGCAGAAATAATTTCATTTTGGCTGAAGTATATTTATCCTTCAACTTTATAGTATAATGTTTCAGTTTAATTTTTTAATTTTATAAAATATATTTTTCAGTTCTTTATGTAACATCTCAATTTAAATTTTAATAGTTAATTTTGATTAATAAAAATTTTAAAAAATATTTAGAGGTAAGCAAATTAGTAGAAAATAATTATTAAATCTAACTTAGAATATAATTCTTAATTAAAATTTTTTTAAAAAAATTATTAATTAATTAATTAAAAATATTATTAAATTATTATTATTATAAAAAAAAGAGAAAAGGTGTGAATAAAAAAAAAGGGAGGAAGAAGAAGAAGAACGAGTTTGCTTTCGACGCCGCGTACTGCAATCATTACGTATATATAAAAATAATAAAAAAAGGGAGAGAGAGGAAAGAAAAAATAATAAAAAAATGTGGGACCCACTGAATTTTTATAAAAACTCACCCGTTTCCTTTTGTTTCTTCAATTCTTTTCCTGCGCGCGAGCTGAGGCGGAGAGAATGCGAGTCGCCGGTGCGAAATATCTAAATTTTTAAGGTAAGAGTTTTTAATAGGATATTTAGGGTGTGATTTCAAGCTTTTCAAGACTAAGTAAGTGTTCTAAAAATTTTTCTTAGTCATCCTTCTTCTTTGGTTTCTAAGTTTGTAGTGGTAAAAAATTTAAGATCTGGAAAAGGGATGAATTTATGTTGAATAAATATGGTTTTTGAGGTTGTCAGTAGTATAATAAATGTTCTAGAGTATAAATTTGTTGATGATCTTTGAATTTATGGCTTATGGATCAAATTTTAAACTAGATCTGAAGATATATGTTGATTTATTGAGGTTTAGATGATTATTTGGGATGAGAAATGAATTATTATGCCTATAGGAATTATGTTATATTTTTAATTCTATTATTAGAATTATTTTATTAGTTTCAAAAATTGAAACTAATATTTATAAATAATATGTTATTTGTAGATTGTATTACTGGTGAAGATTGTAGTGAGAGAGAAATTTTAAGGAATAATTTATTGAAAAAGCCACAAGGTAACCATGCTTTTAATTGTGATTAGTGTTACTTCATGTTAATTGGGTGATTATTGAGAAAATTATGAATTTGTTTGATTATTGTGGGAGGTGTTAGGAGACTTGCTATTGTTGTTGTATTTATGTGCCACGTGGTACGCCCCTATTGGAGCTCAATAGGTAGCTTGTAAGGGTTCAGGCTAATCTACCTTTGGCCGGGTAATTTAGCACCGAGTGAGGGCTACGGCTCGAGGTTAATGGAGGGATATAAGGATGGTTGTTTGTATGTATTGTAATATTTCTTATATTTATTGGAATTATATTATTTTTAATTTTCACTTAATAAGCACACACTTAACTGTTTGTATACACTATCATAAATTGGCTTTGGTTACTGAGATTTTTGAGTCTCATTATGTGGTTAACAATTTTCAGGAGAAGAGCCACGAGTGACACGTGGAGGAGTCCCAGAGGCTTAGTGGCATAGATCCACTGTCTTTTTTGGGTATTTGATTTATGATTTATAATGTGTTATATTGCCAATATTAGGGCTTTTTATTTATTGTCAATTATATGAATATATAAATGTAATCATGCCTTTCAAACTATTTTATTTTTTAGTACAATTTGGATGACTGTAATTTTAATATTTGGTTTACTTTGGATTGGTTGAAATGGCATGATTATAAGGCCAAATAACTGGCTTGTGTTAAAAATTGACTAAATTGCTTATTTTACTTGTTGGGAGTATAAGGATGGACAAATGTGATTTAGCCTAATGGCATGTGGGAGGTAAAATTTATCTGAAATGTTATATTGTGTGAGTTGAAGCCAATTATAAAATATTTTATATTGAAATTATTGATATAAAATGTGTTGGGTGGCTGTAACCCAACTATGGTTAAGTTAAATTATTTAAAAAAAATTTGGTGTGTTAAAAATTTGTAACACACTAAATTTTTTTTTTAAAATAATTAAACTTAACTATAGTTGGGTTACAGCCACCCAACACATTTTTATATCAATAATTTTTATATAAAATATTTTATAATTGGCTTCAACTCACACAATATAACATTTCAGATAAATTTTTACCTCCCACATGCCATTAGGCTAAATCACATTTGTCCATCCTTATACTCCCAACAAGTAAAATAAGCAATTTAGTCAATTTTCAACACAAGCCAGTTATTTGGCCTTATAATCATGCCATTTTAATGTAATAGCCCTCCGCTCACCCCGCCTACCTGAGGTCTTTTGCGGCGCTGGACACTCTCCCCCAGGCCCCACAACAGGGCGACCCCACCCCTTACGGTGAGCATCAAGAAACAAAGGCTTCCCCGCAGTAGTGTGCAGGATTATTCCCCTTGCGAGGAGCCTCCCCAGGTTCGATCCTCCAACCTCTCCTACATAACAAAGTTGAGGCTGAACCTGGTACCATTGAACCACTTGACTCAGTGGTACTAGACTTCGCCTCAACTTCATTAACGTGGTAGAGGTTGGAGGTTCGAGTCTGGAAAGGTTCCAAAAGACCTCTTTAGTGGGGTGAGGAATAACCACTATACCACCAGTGGGAAAGCCGGCAATCATGTGGTGACATGTGTGTTGTCCAGCGCTGGGAAAAGACCCTGGAGAGGCAGTGGTGACCCAGAGGGCTGTTACACTTTAACTCTTATATCATTAGTTTCATAAAAACAATTACATTGAACTGTTAAATATTAATAAAATATTATCAAATATTGACACATTAAATTTAATTTTTTTAAAAAAATAATACTGATTGGTACAAGATATATTCATTTAAAATTAATAGTATTAGGGTTTGAAGATTGAAAAATATTTTATAAACAGATTAAATTAAAACTTTGTGTAAAGTTAAAAGGTTAAAACTATACTTTAATTTTTTATCTTTTTATATTTTAGCAAAGACATCAATATTAATGTTAATATATTATCACGACAATATCATCAATATCATTTCTATCAGTATTTAATAGAAAATGTAAAATTTTACATCAAATTGCATTATTTACAATCACTTAAATTCTAGCAATACAAAGGTCCATCTTTCTACATGATAATCTGGTAAAAAAAAAAAACTTTATACATACTCCCTCTGTTCAAAATATAAGGCATTTTTTGAATAAATAGGTACTTAAAATGTAAGATATTTTTAATTTTTTGAAATATAATTATTATTATTTTTTAAAAGTACCCCTATTGATGAATGACTTTATATTTATTATAAAATATTTAATAGGAGTAAATATAAAAAGATAGGGTTAGTATGAAAGTATGTAACTATTTTATTGATGGGTGAGATTTAATTAAAAATGTCTCATATTTTTAAATGGGGGAAGTAATAAATAATTTTTTTATAATCTCGTTGAGTAAGAGACTTGATTTCCTTTAATTAAGATCCAATGTTCAACCTTGTGCATATAAAAAATCATGCTTGGTGGTTTGGAAATGCTTGATAATACTTAAATATTACGTAGTAGTATTAGATTCCAAAGAAGTATAAGCTCAAACTTGGATTTAAACTTTTAGAAGTATATTTATTATTTTTTCTACTAATATTATATCCAAAAATTTAAAATTAAATTATAAATCAATATATACATTTTATAATAAATTACATTGTCCATAAACTTTAAATAATATAGTTGTGCTAGACTATTCACAAGTTTGATTCGGTTTTAAGAAAAAATTGAATCAACTTTAACCAATTGATTCATTATAGTTTGAAACCTATTCAGTTTTTTTCTTATAATCAACTTAGTTCAGTTTTTAAGCTATTTAGTTTAGTTTAGTTTAGATTTGGATTAAATTTAAACACTTGTTATGAGATATTCTTCATAATTATTGATATATATATTCACATTCATTGATAAATTTTAACTATTAATTAGTATTTGCAATGAAAAATCTCTTGAGTATAACAGGATATTTTTAACAATTAATTAACATATTTAAATATTAAAAATTAATATATTATATTTAAAACACTTGATTTTAAAACTAAAAAATTATCGCAAACAATTATAGATAACATTTAGCAAATTGTAACATATTTTTACTAATTATTTACAAATAACTAAATTTTGGAAAGATAAAAAAACTTGGAAAAATTTACTAAAAAATTATGATAAATATAATAAAGTTTAATTCAGTTTGTTCAATTTTCAAAAAAAAAAACATAAACCAAATCAAATCAATCAATTTTGTCAAAAAAAAAATCAAATCTCATTTATAATAGTTTTAATCGATTCATGTCGATTTAGTTTAAAATAATTGATTTGAATTGATTTTAAATGCCTTAACACTGGTAGCCTTATAGCGTAATGGAACTAAACACATTTCTTAATGTGTGAGATTGCAAGTTTGGCCCTTCGTGTATGTGATGGGTGCATGAGTTTTTTCAAAGAACTTACACCATTTGTGTAGTTTTTTGAAATTCGGATTAACCATTGAACCTATCAAAGTGTCGATTCACAATTTAATAGTTGGACTGTGATATAAATCATGGCTCAACCAGCCATGAATAAATTAATATATTTAAAGTAAAAAAATAATCATATTTAGTGGCAAAAATGAACATTTAAATTTTAAACAAAATAATGTACAATAAAAAAATATCAATATTACATCACTTTCATCTGGAATAAATATATTTATTTCATAATTTATAATTTATAACTTTAAAATATATACATATATATATATATAATATAATTCATATATATTTCTTGTATTTTTTTCATTTTGTAATATTTATTAGGTATATATATATTATAGTTTAGAAATATCAATTAAAAATAAAAAAAATATGTGTCCAATTCAACTAATTTTATCATCAGTTTTATCAATTTTATTTGATTTGAAGTTGATTTGGCCGATTTTCAAAAATGTTAGTTTTTTGTAATGACCAAATCAAACTTAAGATCGATTCTCAATTCAATTAGTTAAATTGGCCAATCTAGTTCCATTTTAATAACACTACTTTTTTAAGTGAAAGAAGTATAATTTATGAATTTAAATTCTTTGAAATTGATATCTATAAATTAAAATTTATGTGAAGTTTACCTTAAAAAAAGATTTATATATTTTATAAAAAATAATAAAATTATTCAAAAAATATTAAAAAATGAAAACTTCATAGAAAGTCATTGATATCAACTTTCGAAGAATTACAATCCATAATTCATATAAAGAATAATACAAGCAACCACTAGTTTACAAAAGATACAAGGCTGCAAACATATCAAAAACTAAATAAGAAAGGGGGGAAAAATAAAAATAGCTTTGATGGTTACGAAAGTGTGCCACTTTTAGAAGTGAGAATAGGCTAGGCCCTTAATAGGGACCTATAACCTAACCTACTTTAAGCCCATCCTAACATATTTTCTAAATAGGCTTAGGTCAAGTTTAAGTTTTTAATTAAGCTTATTTATTTAAATTGGCCAAACCTTTTTTAAAGTTTAATCTACGAGCACAACAGGCCAGCCTATTTACGTATATATATAATATAATATATTACAAACACATCAGTTTCACTAATTTATTTTTAATCAATTTTTTTTATTTCTAGTTATATTTTCAATTATATTGGACTTATATATTAATTTTAATTTTAATGTTTTTATTTCATTGTTATATTGTATAGTAGTCGGTAAGTACTTTCAATTATTATACAGTTTAATTGATAAACCAGGTTATGTATTGGATATTATAATAGTCTAAAAATAGGTTAAAGTGTATTTTTATTTCTTTAACTTTACACAACGTTTTATTTTAATCCCTTAATTTTATAAAGTGTTTTTTTAGTCATTTAATCTTGACATTGTTGATTTTATTCTAATGAATTTTACATTGAACTTTCAAATAATGACAAAAAATTCTCAAATGTTTGACATATTAAGTCTAATTTTTTTTAAACAATAATGATTGACATAAAAAAATTATTTAAAACTAATGATGTTAGGGTTAAAGACCTAAAAAGATATCTTACAAACTTAAAGGATCAAATTAAAATCTTATATAAAGTTAGAGGACTAAAAATGTATTTTAACCTCCAAAAATATATTTAAAACGTTTAAAACTGAAATGCAAATCTATTTAAAAGACTTATTTTTAAGTAGGTTTTCAAGCTAAGCCAAGCTTTAGATAGTGTCAAACTTAAATCGTAAAAAAAGCCTTATACAAACTTTAGGTCAGGCTTAGGGTTTGATTTACCACATAGGCTCATGCCTATTTGGTCAAAACCTAGTTTGACCGAGTCTATTCCTACCCTAGGCACCTTGATGGTATGTTATTGTAATGTTAAGACTTCATTCACAAGTCTTACCCCTGTGAAGGACGTGTTAGCAAAAAGCCTCTCATTGCTAGCTTCCCATAATTTTCAACACAGCATACCAAAAAAATTAATCCAAAGACGAGTTCTACAATTAGGATATGAATTGGAAGTTAACTATTGCTCCAAGGGGAGGTTGTAGAAGTCATGAGTTAAACTTGTTAGACAAATCAACTTCCACCACTCTCAGTTGAGGGAACAATCACATAGTACATGCAATAGATCTTTAGTTCATGGTCTGCATAGAGCACAAGTATCATCTTGGGAGTTGGGACATATGTCTCTTGACTCTCTTTTTGAGCAACCTATTTTTGAAACTAAATTGAAAAAAAAAACTCTAAAGAGTAGGACTATGCAAAAGTCCTCTAGTTCTGTCTGACCTAATCTGACCCGAGATAGTCCAGTGTTGTTTAGTTTGTATAAACACTGATCCTTCAAGACTAAAAAGACTAAAAAGACCAGAATATTTTTTCAAGTTGGATTAGATAGGAGACTGGACATCTAGACCACTTGGTCCAATCCGGTCCTATAAATTTATTTAATATAATTATAATTAATTTATTTTTGACAAATACTTCAAGTGTAATTAATGCTAAGGAGACGATTATATGAAAATTCGTTAAGTTTGTTTCTAAATTATTATTGTAATATAATGTTGTTGAAGTTTGTTGAGTGTTATTTTTGATGAAGTTATAAATTTAAATCATTTGAACTATAGCAGGAATATTTTTTTCTCATTGTTGAAAATTATTATGGATTTATTATTATTATAAGTGTTTGTATTATCTTAATTGAGTTTATTATGTTAAAATGAATTATTGCCTCTCATAGAGGAAAAAGAAAAAAAAAGCTAAGTAAGTACTGAACTATTAGGACCAGTCTCTCAAACCCATAGACCAAGTTCGATCTTATTAATTTTCAAACTATCATTGGACAAGATTGGACTACAGATTGCCTAACCCAATCTTTTTCATGAAAGAAACCAAACTTTGGTTTAGGATGAAATTCAATGTTGCCAGTCCTTTGTGCTTCCCTACTAAGGAGTAGTTATGTTATTGGAAATGAAAGAAAGAAATCAAAACAAAAATGAACTAAAATATGATACGATCCAATATCACATACCATAAATTTAAAAATTATCATACCCTCCACAAATTTTATGAATCATGATTCCCACCTTCATAAAGTAAATTACTCTTTCCCTCCCTTCAAGAACATGATCAACCTATCCCTCTTCCATATTTTAATTCTTTTATTTTTGTTTTTTTCCCCTTTAATTCATCCTACCACCTTTCTTTCTAACAACCAAACATGCCCTTACTCTTTGAGCGCCTGGCCATTTCCAGATTAGTTTCCATTTAGGACCTGCATCACCCCAAGAATCAGCCATAACCAATTCATAAGCGGAGGCAAATAGAGCAGATTCCATTTTTGGTGTAGGCCAAGTGCAACGTGCCTGTAGGAGAATCAAACAAGAGCAGTAATAGCAGCAATATCTTCAAGAACATTAGCTGGAAGCATATCTTTAAACAGGTTTCAGCTCCAACACTCATCTTTTGTAACAAAATCTGATACCAGTTTGGCGACTATAGATAAATGTGAAAAGACAACTTTATAGGGTACCCCAAAATCTACAACTTTAATTTTAAATTTAAATGATGCAAAGTTCAACGCATCCTCGAGTGCCGTGTGGGTCCACACATAACGGTAGCATTGGTACTTTAACTGAACGTTCCCATTGCCAATTTCTACTTTAGAGAGTAAAATGCATTTGGCTTACACGTGATTACATCGCTCGGCTGTTGCCTTTTTCCCGAAGGAAGAAAACAAAAGAACAGTCTTCCTTCCTCCATCACAACATCTAAATCTAAAACAAAAGTAAGTACGTACATAAATACACATTGATGTCAGTGAGAATTCTTTGTTCCCAAGTCGACGCCTACTAGCTGAGTTGAGTAGGCGTAGAAAGAGATTAAGATCCACTAAGATCAACTGGCTAGGGAATTGGGCTAACTTGACCAGAAGTTGTGAGTTCAAATCCTGAGTATACAGCAGTGATTAAGTTTTCAGTGAAAGGTATGCTTTCCAGAGAGATGCTCACAAGCTACCGATCGAAATAATCCGGGTCAAAGACCTAGGATACCAACAAAGAAGAAGAAGAAAGAAAGGGATAAAGAGAGTGATAAGGCCTATCATAGTAATTTCAGGGTTTTAGTTCTCTACAAGTGGTTCTGCAATACACATGGAGAGAAAGAGAGGTATGGTGGCTCTGCCTAACACGTGAGACCCACAAAAACCTCTATCTTTTCTTCTCTGACTGGACCTGGAGAGAATCCTCTCCTTAAATTCAGTTCCTGTTATGCCCTCTTGAAAAATCTGCTCCCTCTCTTGCCCATGCCTGTTCCCACAAGATTTGAGGGAAGAAGAGACTTGGTGTCTGGCCTCCATCTCAACTCTACAAGGTTGGTAAACAGGGTTGCAAGCGCAGGAGAGATTTCACTCTCCTTTATATGCTTGCATGAGACTACTCTTAGGCTCTGAAGCTCTGACCAGGATTGAATTACAGGCTCTAGACCCTCTGTTGTTAGTAACGAGCATCCTTCCAAGTGTAACAACCTTACTCGCCTGCATAACAGCAATAACAATCCTACATCACTTTACAGCTTTTCAGTTAACAACACCAAAATACTCTCAATTTGTTACTTGACGAAGAATGAGGTTGTAAAGGCAAAATACTTCACAAGTTCACAGAACCACTTAAGCACATAGACCACTCTAATTCCACTTTATATTTTGCAAGATTTCTTGGCATAGCCATAGATCAGATTGGAAGTACAAATGAAGATGGTAGAATACAAGAATACATGTACAACAACAACAACAACAATAACAACAACAACAAAAATAAGTCTTATCCTATTAAGTCAGGTTAATTACATGGATTGCACGTTCTATCAGAACTAAACCTTTGGAAATATTTTTAACAAGAAGCCTTAACATGTTCAATTTACAAGCATACATATACGAATGCAAAAATTTCAACATTTTCCAGCTGACCATATACATTAGAGTGCACATTCAAAAGTTGTCAAACAGGACAAATAGAACAATAATTCTAAGGATTTCTCAAGTTTAAATGCAGAATGGGCAAAACAATACATACTGTAAACGGAGAATTACCTGCAAATGCTTGCAAAACTGAACATGTTATTATGCAATCCCCAGCAGTCCTGGAAAATAATCTCCCTTGCAGCCCTGCATACGGAAAAGATTGCACTCATACTATTTTTATCTCGTAATTGGCATTTCTGCAAATGCAGGCGTTCAAGAGCTAGACAAGAACCCAAATACTCCTCTCGTCCTGGGTTAGAATCAATTTTCTTGCACGACAGGAACCTCAAAGTCTTCAAATTCTCACAAAATGAGAGTGCTGCTAACCACCCATCATCCATCCTATGGTCACAAAGAGTCAATTCCTCTAGCATTTGGCAGCATTTGCCAATAGCTTTGATCCCATCAAAGCTCCCTTCGCACCCATTAAGCTCAAGCTTCACCAGCCTCTTACAACCTTGAGCTAAGATTGTCAATCCAATATCTGAAACCACTGAGAAGTAGAATCCATCAACGTTCCCAACCAATTTCAAGATTTGCAGATTCTCAAACGCTGCAATCCCACGCAACACATTGTCATTGCATCTTTGCAGCTCCAACTCTTGCAATGTGGGGCACTCCTCAGCCACATACAACAGACCCATTTCACTGGCACCAATAACCCTTAGCCGCCGTAAATTGGGGCACCCACAAGCAAGGGCTTTCATTCCAGCATCAATGACTTCAACAGGGAGCATGTTTTCCTCACCAACACACCAATTAGCGGGAAACCCAGAATCAACATGCAGAGAAACAACTCGGTGACTCAAAAAGATGCCCGAATTTCGAAGCGAAATCAAAGACCCAGAAACCAAATCTACATGGTTTAAATTGGGAAATCTATGTATCAACCTACCAGACAACACGAAGTTCCAATCCAAGACTTTCAGTGATCGTACAAGCCGACCCTGGAGATTCAACCAGCGCTTGCAAACAAGAGAGTTGGAGTTCCTCTGTGAATCGGGAAGCCTGGCGAGGATTTTAAGAAGAAGCTCGTCAGATAAGAGAAGGGTTCGGTCTATTTTAGCGAAATTAGGGATTAGGGTTTTGGATTTGGGGTCTTTGGGTGAAGAAAGGGAGTGAAGCTGCATGGCGAGAACCATATCCTTCAGAGGATTGGCTTTACTGTGTAGCCAGAAATCGGACCAGGTGGGTACCTTGTCGGAGTTCAGCGAGTTAGGGTTCAGGTTCTCCGAAGGAAACGACATGGCTGAGAAGGAGTAGTCGCTCTGCTCTGCTTCGCATTTCAAATGTGCAGCTTCTTCTTCTCCAGCACCTAAGAATGGAGGCTTTGCTTTCATGGCTAACGGGAATGTTTGGAAGAGGAGGGACACAGACATACAAAGTGGGCCTCATAATTTGAAAAATATTGCCTTCATTTATTAACGAGTGGTGCTTTTTGTTTTTCTTGTTCATCTTAATCCAAAAGACCATAACGATAATGGCAGTGGAAGAAAAATAATTTACTAAATTTATGATTATTTTCTCAGGGATTATAAAATTTTTATAATCTAAAATTTGTCTCAATAATTGACTTGATCTTTAAATTTAATTTTTATTAATTTAATTTTTTAAATTTATTTTTTTTTTATCAATTTAGTTTTTCATTATTTAAGGAGAAGATAAACCTATTAAAATTTATTGACGTGAATAACAGAATATTAATGAATGTTATGTAGATTAATAAAAAAATTATAATTATTTAAATAGAAAAAAATACTCAAACATTTAAAAAAATTTAAAATAGTGCAGTATAAGGAATTAAATTGATAAAAAATTAATTGTTAATTTATTTCCATTTGGCTACATATACATAACAAATCATCAACATACTTTACATATTAGATTAATTTGAGAATCAATTTGTATTTTAAAACTTAACTAACTAGTGTAATGATTTAAAAAAAAAAAAACCAACTGATAAAAATTAAACTTGAGAAATTAAATTAATATTATGACAGATGTGAAAAACCATAAGTTTCATTATTCCTATTTTTTAATTATAATAATATATTTTAAAAATAATATTCAAATTTGTTGTTTTAAACGAAAAAGAATACAACGTTTCTTCTATCAGGTGCTCAAAATGTGCTCTTAGTTGTTTACTTCTGAAAGAATGCTAACTTAGTCCCCTAATTTTATTTTATTTTTAATAAAAGGAAGTTCCCTAATTTTACATTTGGTATTCTTAGCTTCTTATTACATCTAACTTTATTCCTTGTCCTCATTTTTTTTCATAGAATCGTTATCTTCAATTTATTCTAACGTTTTATATATAATTTGACACTTTTTTCTGGTTGCTTCTAAGAAAAAATAGCACTTTTCTTGTCTTGTAAATAAGATTTTAATACATATATTGATATTAATTTCCTAAGTGTACACTAGATTGGCGGATGTTATTAGTTTATGGTAACAATTTGTTTGGGGTGCGCCAATATGTCCTCAGACGGTGTGATATACCTGAATTTTAAATTAAATGATAAGTTTTTGGGATTCTTTAGCACAATTTCCCCAAATGCAAAGGAAGGAAATGAAGAAATAAAGATGAAAAAAAATATAAGAATTGCATAGTGAAAGTAGACATGATATTAGTACTGATATAAAGAAATTAAAAAATATATGTAAGATGAAAAACTGAAAAAAAAAAAATGCTAGAGCAATGATGCTATTATTTTATTAAGAGTTGTCACTCTAGTAGGTACAAAAAACTCACCGCTTTTTAATGATGCATGTTGTTATAGATGAACTACATCTAATTTGCTAAAAGAAAAAGTTCCTGATTGGGCTGAATCAAGTGTTGAATTGATTGGAATGTTGTTGAATTGATTGAAATTACAAAGAGATCTATTATCTATGACTTACTTTCCCTTTTATAGGCAAAAAGTGACAATTTTCTCATAACATATGCTCTACTTTTTAGGATCATTAATGGCAATGTTTTCCATGTTCATATCCACTTTCTCCATTTTTTTTTTAATAACCACTTCCTCTTATTAACTACTCCTATTCTAAAAGCTTTAAGGGCTCAAACTTAAAAAATTGATTTTAATCCAAATAATTGGGCTAGAGATAAAAATTATATTTTAATACAAACATTATTCAATTTTATTTTTTTAATGCCTATGGGAAGATATTTAAAATGGATTAAAGAGTAAAAATATCCAATAACTTTTTTGTTTAGATCATCCACTATCAGTAAGTCAATAATATCACATGAATACCCATAAATTCTTTTTAATAAAGGCATCCTTCCCATCTCGTTAAATTTAACTTTTGTTTGTTAACGTTGACCATTAATATAAAGTGCAAATACTTAAAAGTATTTTATCAAGGTGCAAAAATATTCAAAACAAAATTTTCAGGCATAAAAGTACCATGCGCCATTGTTGACTTAAGATATTATAAGCTTATGAAAAAGTAAATTTTGAATATTTTTACTCCTTAACCCAACATCTCAAACTTATATTAACAGATGTTAAACCAATGTAATGATTTAAGAAAGATAGTCTTAAAAATATTGGACACTCCAAGCAAAAAAAAAAAAAGTTCTTAAATATTTTTACCTTTTAATCCTATTTAAAACTGGGCTGTGTACAAAAATCAAGTGAGATAGCATTGATTATTGGCCTTCTCCTCAGTTCAATTTATATTCATAAAAAAAATTGGAAAAATCACACTAAAGAACTTGGAAAGCAATTTTTTTGCAAAAAAGGTTAAAAGATTCTAATTTTACTAAATAAATTTGAAGGATTAAAATGTAAATAAGTTTAAGTGTGAAATGACACCCTTACTTCAAAAAAAAAAAAGTCCACCCTATGGTTGCTGAACTGCTACCTTTGACTATTAGAGACTTCCTTTCGACGACGGCAACTAATTAAATTATCAAACATGACTGAGAGTGATTTGAACCCAATATCCCTAACCCACCCAAATGATTAATGATCATCAAGACACAAATATTCTTTAGTTATAACATGCAAACAATAAAAATATATGTAACAATTTTAACAATAGGTCAATCACAAGTGAGGTTCTCTAATTAACAACTAATCATTTGAAAGGCAAGTCCCAATTACATTTTAACAAACATAAATTTTATTGTAATTTTGTAAACAAATTATTATTTGGGAGAAAAACAAGTCTCCATTCCATGTTAACAAGTTATTTTGCTTGAGAGAAACATATATTGTCATATGGTAAACAAGCTATCACACAGGAAAAAAAAAATCCCCATTCCATTTTAATAAGAATCAATTCCATAGAGACAATATCAACATATTTGTTATTATTTAGTGAACAAGTTATTATTCTGAACAAAAAATAGTCCCTGTTCCATTTTAACAAGAATCAATTTTGCATTAACATATTCACTTCTCTTAAGCAAAATGTAGAAGCATAGGTTTGTTGTGATAGGAAAGTTCTAATGGGAAAAAAAAGCATAGATAGCTGATTATCAAATTCCATATGTGTATTGACCACAATACTGGAGTGAAATGATATGCAATTACTTTGACTACTCTCACATATGTAATTCATATTATATTTGTAGATTTATTGTTTGCAGTGACTTATTGAAGGTATTGTTATTGATGAACAAATGATCATTCAAGAAAAAAAAATTAATTCCTTTTCTATTTTATGGACTTGTTTATTACATATATATTAAACGTTTCTCTCAAGCAAAATAACTTATTAATTACAAAATTGAAGCTTGTTAAAATAAAATAGGAACTTGTTTTTCTTGCATGATGACTTATTTACTAGATTACAATATTTGTTTCTCTCAAACAGATGGCTATTTTTAAAACTTGTTAATTATGGCATTTATGCTTGTTAAAATATAACATTTTTTTATTTTTTCCCAAACATATTTTACCCAAATCATAGCATTGTTTCTTCAAGTAAAAATATTTTTTTTTGTTGAAATTATGATTAGCTTGTTAAAAAAATGATATTTTTTTTAATTATGAATTATTCAAAAAATGATAATTTTTAAGACTCATACACTCGCTTCTCTCAAACGAATGATAATTTTTAAGACTTATTAATTACATAATTGATGCTTGTTAAAATGTAACAAGAACTCATTATTTTTTAAAAAATTACTTATTAACCAAAGCACTTTTTTTGTGATTAATTTACCTGTAGATAAAGTAATGACATACATTATAGTTTGCATTGCCCACGTTATGTGAGAAGAGCAATGGGAGCTTGATGGTTATTGATTTTTTGGATGATTAAGGAATCTTGATGGGAGCTTGATGGGAGCTTGTTAAATATATATGATAGTAGCTTCATATATTCTGGTTGCCCTTTGTTTTATTTGTTGGTTTCAGTCCCTTCAGTTTGAGCCATCTGCAATGTTAATCACTATAATTTTAAAAATGCACATGAAAATTATGAGCTAGCACTGATAGAGTTAATTTTATTGATGTGTACTTAACTCTATTAAGCCTTTTACTTGTATAGACTCATCAAATTTAAATTCGGTAAGTGTCCTGAGTTCAATCACACACAATCATTAGATTTCATAAACATTTAAAAACTATTAAGATACATTTTTCCTCCAAAAATTTCAAATAATCATTATGATGAAGCCATTCTCACAAATATTATCCCCTTCAAAAATTTGAGATTTTATACTTTTTTAAGTACTATATGACAAAATCTTTATAGTCATTGAATTAAATCAAACATGTCACACTAGACACATATTGAGTAAGTGGAGTTAGTCCACTCATTAAATTATTATGTGTATTTTTATATACATGTTGGCAAAATTAATTCTATGAGTATTATTTTATGATCTTTATGTGTATTTTTAAAATTATAGATACTAATATTATAGGCTGATCAAACTAAAAAAAATTGAGAACAATGAAATAAAATTATAAAAATTAAAAACAAAACACAATCATCGGGATATATATATATATATATATATAGGGACCTACTATTGTATTTTCTCTATTTCTAATATTTTTTTAATAAAAAGCCATTTTTTAAAAATTTTTAATGGGTGTATTAACTTTCTGTCCTTTGCACCAGGCTACCAGCCAAACCCAAATGCGAGTGTTTGTCAAGTTTGGGCACTATCTCAAATTAAAATCTAGTTTAACTTTTCCCACTCATGAACACATCTAAAACTTTATATTAATATTTCTTTAACTTGGACAATCGGCGCCGTTACTAGTTGATTAATTGTTTCCCTCCGCTGGAAGCTTCCTCAGCGCATTGTCCAAATTTAATATTTTTTATTTTATACCTATTAAAATAAAAAATTTATATAAATTATGAAAAATTTTAATAAATTTGTTCACCAGCTTCAATAATCCAAATTTAACATTAAAAATTAAAAAATATATAAAAAAATTTAATATCAAATATACATTGTTCAAAGTATATCTAGATAATCAATTTATAAAAATTATAAAAATTTTAATATTAAATATAAACCATTCATATTAAATTTGGATCATTCAAATTGGTGAACAAATTTATTAAGCGCAGTAAGGGTAGCCCTAAACTATAGGTCTAGTCCAACTGATTAGGAGCATTTGGAACCATAGTATAATGTTTCCTTTCAACTATTAATAAAAGTTAATTTTAACCGTCAGTTGATGAGAAAATAAAAAAATTACTTACAAAATTTCAAAAAAGACTACTAAAATATTATCAGTCATTTTCTATAATTTTTTGGGTCATCATTTGTAATTTTTTTAGTCTTTTATTATATTTTTTTTGTCCTTTTATATAATTTTTAAAATTTTTTATATCATTTTCTGATGAACAACACTCCAAGTTGACTTTTTGTTAATGTTAGGGGTTAAATTGCCATATTTTTAAAAGTTGAAGAAGAGCATTGTATCAAACATGAATTTAGGGATTCAAACACTCCTCAACTTATAATCTGTGCACCTTCAAAAATATCCTGACTTAGATACTCCTGGGCTTATACACAAACAACCCGCATGCAATAATTTCGGGTACCTTGATAATTAGATTGGCGAGATTTTCATGTAAATGCATGTTTGCTAGAGTCATGTCATCTCAAGTCATCTAATCAAAATATCTAAAAATAATCAAGAATTTTCATGTTTCACATGGATTTTTAAAAAAGGAAGTATTTTATTTATGACTTATGAATATTCTGATTTGGGGAAAAAAAGATTGTAAGGACATTTTGTGAATCACATTTTTTGTTATTAATTAGTTATTACGGACTTGGTTCATGTATAGTTTGAACCATGCATGTATGTATAGCGGCAATTAATGCATGTATATATATAGGGTAATGTCTTTCTAGAACAATACATATAATATAATGTACCTTAAAGTAACTATGGTATGCTATATAATTCGTGTGCCTTAATTGGATTAATTTATGTAAAACGGTTTGTTAGAGTCACGTCTTTTCGAGTTTTCAGGCAAATATACCCAAAATAATAAATAATTCATGCACCTTTCTTTAAGATCGAGTAATTAATTCGCGTATAAATTTAATGCATGTATGTATTTGTTATTATTAACTAAATTAAATTGATATTTTATTTTATTCTTTATTCTTTCTTATTCTTTTTTTTTTTTATATATATTCTTTCCACTTCAATGAAATTTCTCATGAATTCCTTATTAGTAGCCTGTTGACAAGAGTACTTTTTTTGGGGGAACGATATTAAAAGAACATGCATGAAATTGAATCAAACTTAAATAAATATTAAAATATTTAGAAATTAAAAGTCCTTTAGTGAATTGGTTTAAGATTTGCTACTCTCCTTCCATAATTTGCAATTCTTAAAATAAAAATTTTCAAGTACAATGCACTAATTTGTAAATAAAAATGAGTTTCAAATAATGATATATTTGACAAGTTTTTTAATAAATTATTGATTATTGAATCTTATTCTTGTAAATTCATTCTTTAAGGATTGCAAATTATGAAATGAGAGTGACAAATTTTTAGACCAGTTAATTAAAGAATCTTGAATTCTTATGTATTTTGAATTTCTAAATCTTTTGATCTTCTTTAAATTTAATAATTTAATCTTTTAGTCAATTTCATTTCCGTTCTTTTGTTTTGGGAAATTTCTAGATTCATTGTCTTTGGAGTCTTTGGAGCATTATTACAATTAGAATATTATAATTCATGCATGTGCCTTTTTAGGATGCTGGGCTGCTGGCTAAAAAAGAAGGCTTAAGGATTATTTTTATTTTTAAACTATATTTAAAAGGTTAAAATAATCCTAAACTTAATTATGAGTCTATTATATACTTTAACTTAAAAAATTTTCTTTGTTATTATCCTGACATTTAATGTCCGTTACTCATCAATGGATCCCATTATTTTTTAATATTTTTAATCAAGTTAAGGGTCATTTTTGCTTTTCAACTTCTATTTGAAAGATAATTTTGGCCCCTCAACTTAAATATTTTATAAAAATATTTAAAAAATAAATTGAAGCTCACTAACAGTCAACTAATAATAAAAAAAATTTATAAAAAAACAATTAAGTGATGAAGAGAGAAATTTTTAAAGTTGAAAGATATAATTAACTCACAATTAAATTTAATATTATTTATAATACTTTGTGTATAGTTTAAAGATAAAAATAAGCGTTAACTCAAAAACAAAAAAGAAAAAGAGAAAAAAAAAACACTTTTAGGGTGATTCACGTGGAAGCGTGACCCATACACAGAGACATGTCCTTCACGAGTTCACGTCATTTAATTAATTTCTTGATTTCTTGATTCTTGATGAATATAGCAAGAGTTATATATATATATATATATATATAATTCGTGTTCCTTCATTAAAGTGATTTACGTATTAGCTGTATATATATATATGTATATATATTTTGAGTTGCGTCTTTCCGAGCTTTTTCAATTTTTCATAACAGTTAATCTACCTTTAAAACAATACGTTATAATAATTAATAATTCAAATAACTCTCAACGTACATATTCTCTAAACATATAAATACCAGTGATTTGGAGCCAGCCAAGCAAGTTTCAAGTCTCTGTCTCTCCTTTCATATACAAACTCTCTCTTCTTCTTCTTCCTAACATCATCAACATGGTCGTAACCACACGTAACCCTAACGTTGCGTTGCTCTGTAGCCCAGGCATGGGCCATCTCATTCCAATGCTTGAGCTTGGAAAATCTCTAATTTCGCAACATGGCTTCGACGCCACTGTCTTCGTCGTGACCACTGATTCTTCGACCACACGTTCACAGATAATCCAGCAAACTTCAAACCCTAATAGTGATGGTCTAAACGTCGTCGTACTCCCACCTGTAGATCTCTCCGGCAAACTCGGACCAAACTCATCACATGTCGGAGCTCGAATCAGGTTAACAATGGCAGAGTCACTCCCATTTCTTCGCTCTGCTATTCTATCCATGAAAGTTCGCCCTTCAGCACTCATCGTTGATTTGTTCGGTACTGATACTTTCGCCATGGCACGTGACCTTGAGATGCTCACGTACGTGTTCTTCACTTCTTGTGCTTGGGTTCTTGCTCTTGCTGTGCATGTTCCTGTCATCGAAAAGAAGCTTCTAGACCGGCACGTGAAACACCATGAACCGCTTCCTGTTCCGGGATGTAAACCGGTTCGGTTTGAGGACAACATGGAACCGATATTGTTTAAAGATGAAGTACCAACGGAGCATGAGTTGTTCGTACAGATAGGACTGAACATAAGCAACGCCGATGGAGTTCTGGTGAATACTTGGGAAGATCTCGAACCCAAAGCGGTTCAAGCTTTGAGAGGTGGGATGATTAAGGGAAAGATTTATCCGGTCGGACCGCTCGTGAGAGGCGTTGATCATAGCCGGACTAAGAAGGAGCATCAAGTTTTGAGTTGGCTGGACCGGCAACCTGCCGGGTCTGTTATTTTCGTGTCATTTGGGAGTGGTGGGACCATGTCAGAAGCACAAATGGAAGAAATAGCTTCTGGTTTGGAGTTAAGTGAACAGAGATTCATTTGGGTGGTTCGTCCTCCACATAAAGAAGACAACGCTACGGGCCATGGTTCATTCTTCAAGATCGGGAAAAACATGGACAACTCGCTAAAGAAATTCACAAGTAGGACCCACGAGTCGGGACTGGTGGTCCCCATGTGGGCTCCACAGTCGGAGATTCTAGAACATTCTTCTGTCGGAGCATTCATGACGCACTGTGGATGGAACTCAACACTTGAGGCGATCACCAACGGTGTGCCGATGATAGCGTGGCCGTTGTACGCGGAACAAAAGATGAATGCGGCGGCGTTGACGGAGGAGCTTGGCGTGGCGGTGAGGGTGAAGGGCGGGAATAAGGGAGAGGTGGTTGAGAGGAAAGAAATACAGAGGCTGATAAGAAGAGTGATGGTGGAAGAAGAAGGTGTGGACATCAAAGAAAGGGTTAAAGAACTTAAACGTAGTGCAAAAATGGCTTTATCGGAAACTGGATCATCTTTTAACTCTCTTCATCAATTGGCCTGCCATTGCAAGGTTCATATGTGAGAGCAATTAAAAATCTCAAGTTATGGACATGGATTTCAATTAGATGAATCTATTTTTTAATATTTATTTATCAAATACATTAAAAATTTATAAGTATTGTTTTAACTTGAAATATTATTTATAAGTTATTCCTTTTATATATATATATATATATTATTGTAGTAATTGAATGTGTGTTCGTCAAAAAAAGTTTTACATTGCCTAAATGGAGAGTACTCTTAACGTATAAATACTAAAAAATAAAATGAACTAGTAAAATAGATTTGGAGGAGAATGGGCTTACACGTACGAAACAGGCCAACTCAGGACATCATTGTTGAAAACAGTCGATTTTTCCCTGCACGCGAGTTCAAGAGGCACTGGGTGGGATTATTTTTACAAAAAATAAATAATTATTTATTTTTTGAGCTTATCAAGAAACCTCAAATTTTCATTGTTTGAATTTGAAATTTTCACTGTTTGAATTTTGAATTTGAGCCTTGGCTGTTTTTGGGTGTTGAACCATTTCTCAAAATCAATTTTGTTAATTAATTTATTAAACGCATTTGTCTGCCAACGACTTTTATGTGTGTGTAACCAAAGCAATCCGGTGATTATGAGCCCAACATTCATGTCTTTACCTTCGGCCTATATATAGCCATAGGTGTCAATAGAACAATTTACCAGCCTCTTTAGCTTTTGAGGTCTTTCGCTCCTTGTCTGACTTCTCTTATGTTCTTGTTCTTTGTCTGATTTTATTTCCTATTAGTGTTGCTATTTTGGTGCCTTGCTTGTGTAGGAAATGCTTGTTGAGTCCTTGGGAATTATCAATCTGTCGTCTCGATGTACTAAAATAGTTCTTAAAGACAGTGTCTTTCAATATGACTCAATCAGCTCAACTCTCGGTTTACCTCCATACAGCCAACATATATATATATATATATATATATGTAATATAAGTTCTAATTATTTTTATTTTGCATTCTATCCTTTATAAGTTTTTAGAGGTAGCAGTGGCCAAGTGTGGTTCTTCACTAGGGTGGGAGTGATCGGAGGTTGAAAGAGTTTCTTAAGGGAAAATTACAACAAATCTCTCATAGTAATTATAGTTATCTAAAGGTTTCATAAAAAGTATAAATTACTTAAAAGTTCCAAATTCTTTATTTATTAATAAATTTTATTATAATCAAAATATCCTTATTCAATTATGTTTACAAAAATCAACCCGTTCGCAGGTCGCCAGAGCTTTGGTGGCTAACCAGACGGTGACAAGGACCAAAAAGAGCTTCGGTGATTGGCGGTGGATGAGCTGACATTTTTTGTAAAAAATTATTTAAGGATATTTTAGTAATTATGCATAAAATTTATTAAAAATAAATAATTTGGGACTTGTGATAATATGTGCATTTTATGAGACTTTATAGTAATTAGAACCATATAAGGGACATTATAGTGATTTTCTTATTTTAATTATTTATTTATATATTTTTTAACTTACGAATCACTAATCACAGTAAAAAAATAAGTATAGATAAATAATTTCACTAACATTCAAATAATACATCTCTCTTGCTCAAGATCTCATCAGTGTGATTAGAGCTGTCAATAAAAGTTGGTTTGACCCTTATAGATCAACACTTGTGTTTGTAAGCTTGACCCTTTGAAACTCCATCTCATAAGCTGTCTCACCCTAAAATTAACATTTTTTCATACCCAACTTTTATTAATAGAGTTTAGGATTGAGTCTGAAAGCCTGCATAATTTTTTTATTTTTAAGAAATTAAAATTTTAAGTTATACTAATACATATATAAATTATTAAATATCTAAAATGTAAATGTTTTTTTTTTAAGTTCTTCTTATCATTAATTTTCATTTAAAAATAAAACATTAGACCTCTTAGAGAGAGGTCTATTTGGATAAGTTGATGTTATTTTAAAAACCCCACTAGCTTTGTATTCATCATTTGGAATAAATATTTAATAAATCATGTTATTCTCATATATTAATTCAAAATTTTAAGTAAATTATGCAAATAATGTTAAAAAAAGTTATAAGAGCTTAAGGGCTAGCTCAAATCTAAGCTTGTTTTTATAGGAATTATAAGTGCATAAGATCTAGACATCCTTTTATATCAAAATCTCTTATTTTGTTAAGCTTGACAAAAAAAAAAAAATCCAAAAGAGTAGCCGCCAAGCCTACCTTTTATTGATAATTTAAAGTGTAATTGTTATTCACACTTTCACATTAAAACTAAAGGCTGTGCAAGTTGTTTGGTGACTGGGTTAGCTTAGTTTTTTCAGAGCTAGTCAAGCTGGATATTGATTAGGGTCAATCCCAGCCCAACCCTGCTAGGCCCACAAATATCTATTTTTATTTTTTAATTTTTTTAAAACTTAATTAGTTCTTTTTAGCCAATAAAACTTAATTAGTTCATAGTATTATTTTACTTAATATTTTTGTGAGTTCAATTTTTTAATATTTTTAAATATTTGAAATTGCTTTTTTTATTTTATATCATGTAAAAATAATAACAATCGTTAACTATATACAATTTAAAAAATTATTACTTTAAATTCTAATATTAGTTTTATAAAAAATTATTTTAAATACTTATAATTATAAGTTTTTGTTGGTTAACAAATTTTTTTATATTTTAAAACAATTTTTGAATATCAGGTAGACCTAACCTGAATCTTCAGGTCGCCCAATGCCCTAGTACACACATCGGGTTAGGCATTTAGTTTAGATAAAGCTCGGCCTGACTCAGCTCATGTGCACCCATAATGAAACTTCTCTCGGTGACTATTTTGTCACAAATGTGATTTAAAAGGGTCCGGATTCAGCACGAGCAGGAAATCTTCACATTGAATGCTTGAGACACCTGGAAAAACGAGAGCCGTGAGATTAAGACTATGTTTGGATTGCCACTGAAAGCACCTTTCGTGGCTTTTAAACGTAAGTTAGTAGGCAAAAAGCCCCTTGGGTAATTTAACAATATGTTTGGATATTTTGTGCGTCAAAGGAGCTCTCGGGTAAAACGAAAGTTGAAATACTATAATGAGCTCTCGAAGGAACGCTGTGGTATGTTACCCCAAAAAAAAAATCACTTATTTTTTAATATTTTATAATTTATTAATTTATTTTATATTTTAGAATTTTATCTTTTTTTATTTATCAATTCATTATATTTTTTAAACATTTAATTTTTTTTAATTTATTAACTTATTTTAGATTTTTGTTACCTTTTTAAAATTATTGTAATTCAAAGTTTACTATTTTTCTCTAAAAAGATCATATTAATTACAAAAATATATATATAAATTTTTTTATTATCATACATTTTAACTGACTTTTGAATCAAATTATTTAAATAAATTTTAATTTATTTAACTAACTTTTAAAAGAATGTATTCAAACATAAATTATATGGACTTTTTTTCTTAGTTTTAGCTTGCCGACTTCAATTGATTATAACCTCAATTAATGGGGAACAGCAAAGTTGGTGACAAATTAGGAAAACAGCACCCAAAAAAAACATTCAAATTATTAATGGGCATTAGTCTTAGTGAAAAAAATTTATGACCGCTTAAACATGAAATCTTGAGTTTAAGTATATGCAAATGTAGAAAACGTTTTTGAAAAAGCAAACTTCAGTTGGACAATAATACTCAAATTTAACCTAATTAGATAATCATAACAGGAAAAAAAAACTTTCAAATAATCAACTATTTTCTCTTAAATATTTTAACAAACAAAGTACTTTAAAATATAACCATAGATCAAACTACAGAACACAAATCATTATCCACACCTTTTTTTTTTCTCAATAAAATGACATGCTTAGTTGGCACTTCATGGTTTCATCTTTCTGTTGGAGCGAATTGAGAGAAGTTTTCTCGAAAATGAGAACAAATCTTTTAAAATAGAGATTCAGCAATTTTTTGTAAACTCTTTTTATATTTCCCTCAACTTTATTACTTTTTTATAAATTATAAAATCTTTTTCCTCTTCCTTAAATAGATAAATTTTAATAAATTTACCGATTCTCAATTTCAAAAAATCCATTCTCCCAGAAATGTTCTGGAGAGTATGTCACAAATGGGAGTGTCAAATTTTGGTCCTTTTCTCTTGGAGAAAAAAATTCTAACAAAAAATTATGCCGAGGGCAGCAAAGGAATTATTAGCCTAATTAATGTTTAAAAATTTTTAGTAACAAATGAGCTCATATTAGTTTTTTAAAGAAAATTCAACAAAAAGTTTAATTTAGTACAACCTAATTAGCAACATATATGGAAATCATATTACCCCTTTTGGGTCACAAAATAAGCCATTTTTTAAAAATTTAGAACTTTTGCTTGATACAAAATATAAGACATTTGGAAGGTATTATATATGTTTTTTTTTTTCCAACTACACATCTACTTTATTGAGTAATTAATAAGGGTATTTTGAATAAATTAAGTTGTATATTTATTATACTCAAATATACAATTGAAAAGATGTAAAAAATTTTAAAAAATTAAGATTTTAACTAACCTTTTTTAAAAATGTAAATCAGTTAGTAATAATTTATATTATGATTTGGCGGGAGATTTTTTTATTAGTAATATTTAATGGTATTTTTTTTTTTGGGAATTCAAAGGCAGGCTAAAGCTTGTGTACACAAAAAGTCTACATCAAATAAAAATTTGAGCACATGCTCATATCTTTACAAACTATATCACGGCACCATGATGGAATATTTAATGGTAGTTAGGCATCACATATCCAAGCTATTTAAATCTATAAAGTGGCCTTTAGAGGAAGGAAAGTCAAGTGAATTAGGTTTAAAATAAATAGCATTAAAATGGAAAAGAGGAGTGAATAAGTTGGAAAAATAAAATTAATGCATTGAATTAGAAAAGCAACCCATGTGAACCAATGTTTTAAAATCCGAACCAAACAGCAAATTGAAAATATCAATGGGTTGTGGGTTTTATGGTTCAATCAATCAGACCGATAGTTGCACCAATGATCTAATAATTAAATAAAAATAATATATATATATATATATATATATATAAGATGATGACAACATGTTCTACACCTAAACAAATAAATCAATAACTTAAAAGTAGATAGAGAATGTAGCCTTCCTATTTTGTGATGTCAACACATAATTACATAGCAAAGTATCGGACTCTCGCGTGCATCAGGATTCAGGCATCATCACTTGGAAAAAAATGAAACCCCTATTTGCAATAAAAAACTCTTGGCAATAAAAAACAAGTCCATTCATTCAACAATCCTTCGTTCCATGCCATTCAAAACGATTAGGTTAATTTGGGCAGAGAGATAAATGAGGGAGAAAGAAAATATCACCAAAACTAAGAGAGAGTGATCAATGAAGAAGGTGAAGAACGAAGAAGGCCAAACTCAAAACCGACCATTTTGACAGCTGCATGCCTGCTTGATCATCAATCATGAATGCCTAAATGTGAAGATTGAACCAAAATAAAGAAAGTGAAGTGAAGAAGAAGAATGAAGAAGTGTCTGATAGTTGTTTGGGCAAGGGTGAATGCCTAAATGGTGAAGATTGAATCGAGAAGGAGAGAACGCGTGCCGACGTGCGAGATAGAGAGATAAGTGAGAAGCGAAACTGGGTGTGGGTGACTAGAGTGGTGTTTCTTTGGTGCAAAAAAGAAATAAAGAATAGAAGGGTTTTTTATTTTCAAAATGCCAATTTTGCCCTTATTTAACCTTCTTTTAACCCAAAGAAACCCATTTTGAGTTTCAGGTATTATTCGAGTCTTTAAAAACATTTTGGTTCAAGGCGGGCCAACTACTAATACCGGTTAACTGGTTGAACTAGCTCGCTTTCTTTAGTGGGTGACGGGCCAATCGGTCCAACCATCTGAGTCAATTCGAGTTTTAAAATCTTGATGTGAACCCAATGTGGGCCACACAAGTGAAGATTCTAGAAGAGAACGAGAAGAACAACTAAAGAAAGGGGTTTTTCAACGGGGCCAAGAGTTGGAGTATGATACATACAAGCAAGATTTGGTAGTTATTAAGCTTAGTTTTATTGATTGTAAGAATTCTCATATTTAGTTAAGTTTAAGAGTTAATGAATATCTTAGACCCTAAATTATTATGTGAATAGAATCATAGAGGCTGAACTTTTGAAATGTGTAAACACTCTTCTCAGTCTTTAAATTCAGAGCACCTAAAATCCCGCTATTAAGTTGGAGAAAATGACTATTATTTTTTAGGGTCAAAATGAGTGGTCATATTAGCTTGTGATTGGGCCCTACAATTACAAGAGTAACATATGTTTTTTTTTTTTAACTTAACAATGAAATTTCAAGAGCTCAAAATTTAGAAATTGAGAGAATTTTTTTGCACATTTCAAAAGTTCAGGGTTTAGTATGCTATTCATACAAGCTTTATCACAGAGTTGTAATATTATTACATTTTCAAGACTTAAATTTGAAACTACTAATTAAAATGAAACAACCCCACATCAGTTGTTCTAAATATTGGGTGGTCATTGTGCTCAGAGCAGAAAATGCATGGTCAGCAAGAGCTGGTTGGTGTAGCATTAAAGGGTGATGAAGGGTGGAGAGGAAGGTAATATAGTAGGTAATTAAAAAAAATCATTAAAAAGTTTAATTTAATAGACTCTAGCGTAAAGAAAGTCAAAGTATTTTACATGGAATATTTAATCGGAATTAAGAAAAAGAATGAATGATGATTTTAGCTATAGCTGTATAGAGCGGACCTGGAGAGAGAAAAGTTCGGTAAATTTGGCTTACATTAAACAAAATGAAAATATTTTTGGCCAAAAAATAGAATGAAAATGGAAAAGGAGCAGGTAAGTAGAATTTTTTTTTTAAATATTCAAGTAGAAAAGATTTCTAAACTTACTTTTAAGTAGGTGATAATGATTGGCCTGCTTATATATTTCTTTTCAAAATTAAATAAAAAAAAGTTTTACCTCAACAACATAGAATTTCATAGTTATATATCTTCATGTGGAATATTTAATCCTATTCAAGCCATACTTAATAACTATGATACATGAGTTGAATTTAGTAAATTGAGTTAATCTCTCACAATGTTGCAAGATAATGTCATTTTCTGTGATTTTTTTTTATCATTTTTTGTAATTTTTGTGGTCTCTTTTTAATTATAATTTTAAAGTTAACTAATAGTTAAAGGTAATGGTGAAGGGAAAGCACCACAATTTTAAACATTTAGAGGTAAAAATGCAATAAAGACGATGTAAAGTCCTATACGTTCTTGAGCATATAGTTTAAAGGTCAAATTACTATTTTGTCCTTTTATAAAATTACAAGATCAAAATTAAATTTTGTGTAAAGTTAAAAAATTAAATACGTATTTCTAAAAAAAAATTATATGATGATATTTAAAAATATTAATATCACCAATATATATATATATATATATATATAATTCTATAGAGAGATACCATTGAAGTACTCCTTCAGTCTAGTACATAAATCACTTTCTAGAAGTATAATCTGGTTCACTTTATAAGTCATTTGTTGATGGGATATTTTGTTTCAAATTGAAATCCTTAAATTACCCTTGAAAAGTAAGAGATAGAAAGCAAAAAAAATAATATTATATGATTAACTTATTTTTTGCTTTTCACTTGAGAGTTATTTTTAAATTTTACTTACTTTTATTTCTTATACTTTTATTGTATTGGTATTGATGAGATTGATAGAAATGACTTATAAATAGAATCGGAGAAAGTATATTAAATGTTTAGAGGTAAAAATGGATTAAAAATAAATTTAAGGTTCTATATATTTTTGAGCATATAGTTTAAGGGTCAAGTTGCCATTTTACCATTTTATAAAATTAAAAGATAGAAAATAAATCTTGTGTAAATTTAAAAAAATGATGTATTTCTGAAAAAAATATTATATGATGATATTTAAAACTATTAACATATTAATATCACCAATATATATATATACACACACACATACATACATATTAAATTTTACCGACAGATACTATTGAAGTATATTGATTTGGAGAAGTTGATTTAAAAACAAGTTTTAAAGAAGAATAGAAGGTATTGAGACATCAAAAAATAGATCAAAGAGGTTGTTTAAAATTAAAATTAATTAAATTATGTGATAGTTAAAGGTAAATGTCAAAATGGTTACATAATAAAATTTTGATAAACTAATTTTACAACACCACAAATCCTCTAATAATTTCGTCTTGTTCCTTGTAATAATGTAATTTCTTGACACAGCCCTACAATTGTAAGTCTATAAATACTTGCGATTTAATTTAAATCGAGCCAAAGCAATTGGAAATACAAAAGTTTCAATTGCCTTCTCTCATGTACTAGTCCTTCTTCTTCCTAACATCATGTTAACCACACATAACCCTAATGTTGCGTTGTTTTGTAGTCCAGGCATGGGTCACCTCATTCCAATGCTTGAGCTTGGAGAATGTTTGGTTTCTCGTCATGGCTTCAATGTCACCATCTTCTTTGCGACTGTGACTTCATCAACCACACATTCCCAGATAATCCAGCAAACTATAAACCCTAAAAGCAATGCTTTAAACGTCGTCGTACTCCCACCTATAGATGTCTCTAGCAAACTCGGTGCACTGAACTCAGAGTTGTTAGCTCATATCATGTTCATAATGGAGGAGTCACTCCCATTTCTTCGTTCTTCTATTCTATCAATGAAAGTTCGTCCCACAGCGCTTATCGTTGATACGTTCGGCACAAATGCTCTTGCCATGGCACGTGACTTCAACATGTTGAGGTATGTGTTTTTCACTTGCAGTGCATGGACTCTTGCTCTTTGTGTATATCTTCCAACCATCGACAATGAATTGTTAAGCCGGCATGTTAAACACCATGAACCGCTCCCCATTCCGGGTTGTAAACCGGTTCGGTTTGAGGACACCATGGGATCTTTAATATTGGTTAAAGATGATGAACCGATGATGGTGCATCAGATGCTCGTAAAAATGGCAATGAACATAGGCGACGCTGATGGGATTCTGGTGAATACATGGCAAGACCTTGAGCCCATGGCACTTGAATCTTTATTAAGAGTAGGGATTATTAGGGGAAGGATTTATCCGGTTGGACCGCTAGTGAGAGGCTTCAATAATCCAAGCCGGACAAAGAAGGAGCATCAAGTTTTGAGTTGGCTCGACCAGCAACCAGCTGGGTCGGTTATTTTTGCGTCGTTTGGGAGTGGTGGGACCATGTCAGAAGCACAAATGGAAGAAATAGCTTTTGGTTTAGAGTTAAGTGAACAGAGATTCATTTGGGTGGTTCGTTCACCATGTAAAGAAGAGAATGACACAGTGACTCATGGTTCGTACTTCGACGTTGAGAATGAAAAGAACATGGATGGCTCGCTAGAGAAATTCATGAGTAGGACCTACAAGCTGGGACATGTGGTCCCCATGTGGGCCCCCCAAGCAGAGATTCTAGAACATTCTTCAGTCGGGGCATTCATGACACACTGTGGATGGAACTCGACTCTTGAGGCGATCACAAATGGCGTGCTAATGATAGCATGGCCATTGTATGCAGAGCAGAAGATGAATGCAGCGACATTGACAGAAGAGCTAGGCGTGGCAATAAGGGTGAAGGGTGAGAATAAAGGAGACGTAGTGGGGAGGAAGGAAATACAGAGACTGATAAGAAGAGTGATGGTGGAAGAAGAAGGTTCGTGCATGAAAGACAAGGTTAAAGAACTTGAACGTAGTGCAAAAATGGCTCTATCAGAAGCTGGATCATCTTTCGACTCTCTTCATCAATTGGCCTGCCATTGCAAGGCTCATATGTGAGTAGGGAAAATAATCAATTTCATCACCTTTCTTAAGCAGACATGAATTAGAAATTTATATAGAAAGTTACTACTCCTGATTTGAGACTTGATAATAATCAGTGCATTTTATGGAATTTTAGTGCAATTGACATTATTCTGAACTTTGGAAGTAATTTTCCTTAATAAAAATAGGTTTTAAAAGTACATTGAGAAAGTTTAAATAAAATCTGGGTAAAAGATTTCTTTGACATGGAAGGTTTTTTTTTTTGCATGTAAGATTCAAATGAAATTATGTTTCGAGATAAAAATTCGAAAAATGTCCCTGATTTTGAAACGAAAAATATATCATAAGAATGGCTAACCGTTTGCGCAAACTCAATAACTAGAGTTTGTGATGTAAAAAAAAAAAAAAGAATTGTGCTATAGATTTTTAAATTGTAATGATAAAGTTGGAAATGATTGATTGTTTGGAATGTTGAAAGTTCTGTACTGAGAATAATTTGATTTTTTTTGTTGAAAATCTGAGCACTTACTTATTAATATCAACATATTTACATTATCAAGTAATTATCTGGTGGTCACCACCCCTAAAATTGACAATTATATTTTTAGATTTTTGACAACTAAATGCATGTAATATATTGACAAGTACATATTTAGATTTTAACAAATTAATAAATGGTTATTTTATATTTTGTATTATAGATTACTTATAAAATTACCAAGTAAATGTTCAAATATTAACAAGCATGTGTTTAGGTTTTAACAAGTAAATATTTGATTGTTTGATCATCTAAAATACTTTATCCTTTGAAATGCCTTATACAAGCTATTGAAAGAATTATCAATATCAATTACAAGTTTTAATATTGTTAAGTATGGTGTCTTGAACTTATCCCCGGTTTGGTATAACAAAAGAGTTTTTATGAAAGTAAAAGTGACAATAAAAGTGGACGTGGAAGTGAGGATAGAAGTGGGGTTAGAAAGTGTATTTGGTATATAAATGGAATTGAAATAAAAATTTTATTTAATAAATATAATCATATTCTGAAAAGATCAAAATCCCCATAAAATTAAAAAAAAAAAACCCATTGTCTTTATGCTCTTTCTTTACAACCACTGTTGCACTCTCATAAAAAAAATGACTGAGCTTCCGGCAAGCATAACTCCTACTGAACAATAAATTCAAAACAACAGTGTAACTACACAATCGAACATGGAAGAAGAGACGTTGGGGTAAAAATGATGAGACAAGAAAGGAATTGGGGGAGGAAGTGAGTTTTTTGGGTCCAAGAATGGAAATTACTTCCACCATTTTTTTATAGAATCAGGTTTCTTGAGGAATTGAAATCCTATCTACCAAACATTCTATTTTTTGATTTTACTTCCACTTCTACTTCCTCATCCCCAATTTCACTCTACCAAACAAGCCATTAATTTCATCTCTAGTATCAACAAACAACTAATGCATTAATCAATATTCAACTTCTATGTAAACCAAATTATTATAAATATTTTATCAATTTACAAATACACTTTTTACATTAACAAGATAAAATTCATATTTTCACAAAGCAAAATTTAGTTACTTTCTTGAGAGACTTCTAATATTCTAAAATATAAATACTTTTTTCCTTTACAATTACAATTCAAAAATCTACACCACAATCTTAAAATTTTTACACCACAAAGCTTAACATAAGCTGCTTAAAACCATTTTTATGATACATTTGCCTTTTTCAAATTTGAGGCATTTTCGACATTTAATCTCAAAACATAATTTTACTCTAATCGTCTGAGTCTTTAGAGGAATTTGAGTTTTGGGTGAGGGTGAGAGTAGGCCCAACTCCTATCAAGTAGCTTACAATCTGACTTGACTGGAGCCTAACCCATTTATAAATAGCTCAAGTCTAAGGTTAAGGCCTATAAAACTAAGCAAGTTAGATCTGAATTTTTAAAGCCTAGCTAGTAAGCTTGCAGGCCTAACTTGTTTAAGCATATTTTGTTTTAAATACCTATATATTATATTATATTTAAATTTATTCATTCGTTTAAAAATATAAGGCATTTTTTGAGGAATTGGATGTGCAAAAATGTAAGGTATTTTTAGTCTTTTAAGATGTAATTATTGTCTTTTTTCAAAAATGGCTCTATTGATAATGAATTTTTGTTTATTGTAAGATATTTAATAGGGGTAAATATAAAAAGATAGGATTAGTTGAAAAGTAGGTGACTACTTTATTGGAGGTGAGATTCAGTTAAAAATATCTTACATTTTTAAACGAAGGAAGTATTATATTGAAATTAAATTTTCTCATGTAATTACTTCTTTCATCCTAGAATAATTAGTTTCATGTTCGTCTTTTACCCTAACATTTAATTTTTGTAATGTCGCAACATGCATGGTGTAACTCTTTAAAATATGTTTTATTTATATTTATTATAGATTTCATTCATTTTAATTATATGTAGACTTTAGACAAACTTTACGCCTTTAAACCTATATAAAATATGAAATATGTGAGTTTTGAAGCTTACATAAAAATTTAGATTTTAGTAGATTCAAAGCCTATTTAAAAACTTTCAAGTCTAATGTAAGCCTTTAAAAAGGTCTCAGGTTAAGTTAGGCATACGATAAACTCAAGCTTAAACTTATAAAAAAATTTATATATAAGTTCAGGCTTGAGGTCTATGTTTTATGTTTAAGCATATTTTGCCAAAGCTTGATTTTATCTATTCTCACCCCTAGTTCTAGCCCAAAATATAATCATCTTCCTTCTAAACCTCTGAATGACATTCCCCTGGAAAGAAAAACATCTTCACACTACGCTAATTTAAATCTCACTAGATATCAATATAACATGTACTCGTATAAGAAATCCAAAAATAATGATGATGATATGATGATGAAGATGAAGTATAAATTAATAAAGTAAAATTTATTATAAAATTAGCTATGCTCTTCTTCTCAATTATAAAATATTTTTAAGAAAATCACACAAACCAATAAAATTTATTAATTATATTTTACAACCTTATTTTTTTATAAAAATATAAATTTTAAAAAATGTAACTAATTTAATATTTTATTTATAAAAAATATTAAATAAAAATATATAAAAATAATATTAATAAATTTTATTATTTTTATCCATGAGCCATATATTTTTATTCAAATGTCTTATATAAATTTCCTGGTCTTATGCTTTCTTTTTATTTGACCAACAAAAGCGTCTTCTGCATAACCCCTCTTTTTGCCACAAATCATAGCCCCTCTTCGCTTCGTCCACGAACCAGCGCTCAACACTTTTTTGGCCCAAAAAAAAAAAAAAAGAACGAGCACTCCACAATTGGTCGAGCTCGCCGTCCGCCGTTGTCAGCCCTGCGTGGTTGTTCTCGTGAAAGCATTGAAGAACTTTCGGATCCTAGGTCTTGTCTACTCCCAAATCCGGTGAGATTGATCTGTTCAATCTGGTTTTGAATCTTGATCTGAATTTATTCCCCCCGTCATCCGTTCCTTGCGTTGTTGTCAAGCCTGTGTCTGACGCCATCGCACCGCTTCTTACTTTGTTTTAAATTTCTCATTTTAATTTGGATTTGAATCTGGTCATTTTAATTTGGATTGGAATCTGGTCATGTAATCGTTTCAAGATTGACGCTTTTGAATAAACATTGAGTTTACTTCTTTTAAAAAAAGGACTTTTATTACTTGTTTTTGATTCAATGGTGCATAATCGGCTATTATACTTCTGCCCTTTTCAGTTTGATTACTGTAACGAGCACAAGCCCAAAGCCAAAGGGATAGTTCATTTTAAAAGACTAGCCCGTTTGGGTGGGAGAGTCTAACACTTATAAACTCTATAATACTTATGAGGCTCTCCAATGTGAGACTTGTGATAATGCCACCCGTCCTGGCATCTTCATTCCATGGCATTTTACTTGACCTTTTGCTGGTCAGAACCTTCCGTGGGTAGCCTTTTCTGTGACACCAACTTCTCAATGAAAGCACCAATGTCACAAGCACAAGCTCAAAGGGAAAGCCCATCCCAAAAAATTAGCCTGTTGGGTGGAAAAGCCTCTCATATTTATAAACCTCACAATACTTGTTAAGCTCCCGATGTGGGACTTGTGACAATAATGTCACGACCACAAGACCTCTGGGTAAAACTCACTCCCAAAAAATGCCTCATAGGAGGAGGGTGTCCAACTGACTTATAAATCACACTTCACCAATGTGACTTCCGGATGTGGGACTCATGACATTACCCACCCTTAAGAGCTGACGCCTGCAACGGTTCACCTCTATGGCACTTCACTTGGCCTTTAGCCAGTCAACCCCTTCGTGGGAGGCCCTTTCTGCGAATGGCGACTCTCAATGAAAACACCAATGTTACAATCACAAGTTCAAAGGGAAAGCTTATATAAAAAGATGAGCTTTTTGGGTGGAAGAGCCCTTCACACTTATAAACCTCACAATACTTATGAGGCTTCTTGATGTGGGACTCGTGACAATGCCATCCTATGAAGAGTCGATGTCCCTGACGACTTCACTCCATGGCACTTCATTTGGCCTTCAACCAGTCAAAACTCTCCATGGGTAGCCCTTTTTGTAACACCTGCCTCTCAATGAAAGCACCAATGTAACGAGCATAAGTCTAAAGGGAGAGCCCATCTCAAAAGACTAACCTGTTGGGTGGGAGAGCCCTTCATACTTATAAACCCCACAATACTTGTGAGTCTCCCCGGGGTGATATTGTCATGAGTCTCATATCGGGGAGCCTTACAAGTGGTGTGAGGTTTATAAGTTTAAGGGGTTCTCTCTCCTAATAGGCTAGTCTTTTGGGATTGGCTCTTCCTTTGGACTTGTGTTCGTCACATTGGTGCTTTCATTAAGAGGCTGGTGTCACGGAAAGGGCTACCCATGGAGGGTTTTAACCGGCAGAAGGCCGAGTGAAGTGCCATGGAGTGAAGCCTTGAGAATATTGGCTCTTGACAGGATGGCATTATTACAAGTGTCACATCGGGGAACCTCACAAGTGTTGTGGAGTTTATAAGTGTGAGGAGCCCTCCCACCTAACAGGCTAATATTTTGGGATGGATTCTCCCTTTGGGCTTATGCTTGTTACAATTACTAGCGACGTATATGCTTTGGATTTTTTTGTGGTGCAATGTTGGATTTGTTGTGTGTTGGCATTCTGTTTATTAATCTCTTTATATGATCATTCATTTTCAAAATTCTCAAGGTATTTGTGATGCATGATCTGTTGAATGAGTTGGCTCGACTTGTGTCCAACAATTTAGAAGCTTGAGTTTAAATTGTAATTCTTCAGTGGCTTGGAGGAGTTGCTTGAATCAATTCTCTCCCGAAGGCATCTTTGACTTAGGGTGTAATATAGGTTTGCCTATACCTCCACCCGGACCACCTTCATGCGTTTTCTCCTTCTTTTTTCCATATATGCATGTGCATATCTATATATATATATAATACATCCTAGGAATGAAAATGCCTTAGGCTAGATTTATTGGGCTGATTTTGCATTAATTGGATCTTCTAAATTGTTGCTTGCACAAATGGACTTGCTTTTTTGGGTTGTTTTCTCTTACAGCTTTAAAGGGGGATGTGAGAATTCATTTCGGCTAATACTCTTTTCATTTTTTCTCACTTTTGTTTGTTTGTTTTTTTTTTTAATTTCTGGTTGTTCTAGGAGGAATTTTTTTTTTCTCCTTATTACTAATCCTTTTCTTATTTATTTAAAAAAATGGTTGTTTGTGGCTTTGTGCTATATCTCTGCCTTACTTGATGTGTTTATAATCAGTTGGCCGGGAATTCATAATGCTCGAGGACTAGTCAATATATTGATGGAGATGCTTAATGCCTTGGATCCTAATAATCCTGAGGTGAAAAAAAAATCTTTTTTCTGTTTCTTTGCTGCTATCTTAATTCTGGAGCTTCTAGCCAGTATGCTTGTTATTAAAGTATTTTAGAATCTGTAAGTTGTCGCTTTCTCTTTATTTGCATTCTAATAGTTTTAGGTGGAATTTTGGAATTCTCACTAGTGCAAATTTAAATAAACAAGTGGTTATCATGAAAAGTAGGCTGCTTCTGATTAGTAACAGTCTCAACAAAAATTACATCTTTTTGTGCTGAGGTCTTGTGAAGTTTGAAGTTGTTTATGATGAGATTGTTAGAAGTTTCAGAGCTGCTTTAAGACCTTTTTTAATTGTTTCTTTTCCCTTTTTGATGTGTGGCCTGAATTTATCTTTCTTATGCGTCCAAAGACTCTGCTTTACAATATTGTAATAAGCACAAATGCACAAGATCGAGCTACTTATAGTCCAGTCATTAACTGTTAGGAATTGAGTTGTACTCACTTTGTAGTTGTGTTGGCTGGTTATATTGGTCTAATATGGCAAATTGAGATTGTTAGAAATTTCAGAGCTGTTTTAAGGCCTTTTTCTAATTGTTTCTTTGCCCTTTTTTGATGTGTGGCCTCAATTTTTGGTTCTCATCCATCTGAAGACCGTGCTTTACAATATTGCAGTAAGCACAAATGCCCAACATCAAGCTTCTTATACCCCAGTCCTTAAACTGTTAGGAATTGAGTTGTACTCATTTTGCAGTTGTATCTGGTTATATTAGTCTAATATTGCTATCTAATAGTCATATATCCATTTTAACTGGTTTAGGCCAGGCTTAGGCTTAAGGCCTAGTAATCGGCCAACGTCTGACTTGGCCACTCTTAATTGCAAGTTCAGGCCTATTTGGGCCCAAGGTTTGTGTAACCTGGCCTGTTCCTACCTCTACTTACTACCAAGCTAAAAGTTATAATTATTTGGTAGGGTTCAATTGGCAGAACATTTAATCCAAACATTCGCAGCTTCTGAAACATAAAATTCAAAACCTTTGGAAACATTTGAACTTCAGAAATCCCGTGGTATTGAGCATTGAAATTCTGTTCTGTGTTTCTGGGATTTGCAGTCTGACTGATTAATGTCTCTCTGTAAATTTGATTTTCTTTGCGAACCATCTTTTAATTTTCAGATTGAAGAGAAAAAGCAGGCTGCTGCTGACGTTTTATTTCAATACTCAAAATTTGTGATGGCATGCATAGGGAATCGGGTTCGTCCCTGTGATATGAGGTTACATTTGATGAAGGTATGATACAAGATTCTGTTAGTTTCTAATTGCTTCAATAGAAGCATGATTGGTTATGTATGCTCAAATGATTTTACCCTCACTTCAAGTTTAGCTCTTATTTCATTTATCCATACCTTGAGATTTTTCATGGGTTTTACTATGCTTATCAGGAGATTTCGGGTATGCCAACTTCTCTAAAGAGGGAGTCACCGCAGGCTGCAGTGTCTCCTGATGCAATGGGTGAGTCATCAAGCTCTGGTACAGCTAGACTAGGATGATGCAGCCAATTTTCGTACACTTGGCATAGAAAGCCCATCTCAAAAATATAAATATATCGCTCAGTTGCTTAAACTGATACCGTAGCTAGTATGTAGAATTATCTCAAAAATATAAATATTAGTGTGCTGGCATTTTATTAGAGGGGTGGTTAATTCAACTTGTGTGTAACTTGAAAGTTTGATTTCAGAGGGACATGTTGTAATGTGTAGCTCACATTATGGCTATTGATATTAGCTAATTTTAACTATTCTATGATCACTACCTGGAAAAAAGCGACCAAGTCAGCGAAACATGAGGATGTGTTCAATGTGGAAAGAGTTAAGTTCTCGACTATTTTAATGAGTTCAACACAAAATGAGCTAGTTCACATGACTTGAACCCAATTTAAAATCTTTTTTGCTTCAAATCAGAGATGTTGATGGATAGATTGCCATAACCTTTTTTGTAAATGTATACATAGTAAGTTGTGGTTCTAAAGTTGTTTCCTTTAAAACAGAGATAACCTAAAAAAGGTGTTGATGGATAGAACTTTGTTATTTCTCTAAAAAGTACACTTTGTTTGCTTTGGAATGATCTTAAAAGAATATATTTTATCTTAGCGATCGAACACACACATTGTTAAAAATTTGTTGCCTAAATAATCACTCAAGAACAACAAATTTATTTAGTGTATAATCGTTTATGTTGTATTATTTTATGATAGCAACTTTATGCTATATTGTGATAATAGTTTGTCTCTATAGGAAGTAAAATAAAAAATAATGGAGCTTTTACAAATCCATACTTTTTTTAATTGGGTTAAAGCAATTAAGTTTAGATATTTAATTCAAGCAATTGTTTTATGATATTTCCCCTTGCATAACATTTTTTGCCTTTTATTTCAATATTTATGCTAAAAGATTATGCTTATACTGTGAAAATTTTGCTAGAGTACTGGATTTTCATTTTACACTTTTTAAAATCTAGATTGTCCGTCATAAAATTGGGCCTTCTAAATTTTATTTTTTAAAATTTTCTAAATAAATTTAGATGATCCATAATCCATCTTCATTGTAATAATCGAATCTATATGCATAGGAGCAGGCAAACATAACCGAACACATTGCTGTTACTTGACTTGTGAGTGAAAGCAAATTTTCCCCCTCCCTGGGAAAAAAATTACGTGTATGAATATTGATAGTTTGTCATTTCATTACTGATTAATCTTTAATATTTTGGACATATGGAATCAATGTAAATTAATATTTTCTACATTACTAATTTTAAAATTTTGAACTCGCTGGAATAAAACTCAAATTTAATATTTTGTAGTTTGATTTATGCCCAATAAATTGATATCAAGACTTTTTTTTTTTTTTGACTGACATATCAAGACTTTGAACACTAACACAAACCACGATGATAGGATTTAAAGCTTTTTTTCCCCTTTTATCTTTGGTATTTAATTTAAATATGATAAACTGAAATTTAAGATTTTAAACTCATTAGGAAGAGAAAAAACTATTAGACCTAAGCTCTTATATAAATTATATGAAAAAATATCATTATTTTACACTTAACCATATGAATTATTTTATTTAAGAACTCTATAAGCAGGAAAAATAGATATTCTTAATTAACTAATTTTCCTCACAGAATGGACAACTACAAAACTATTTCTCTTTCTCTTTTACATTGAGAGGGTTTGAACCAAAAGTAGGATTCCCTCTGCTGATGGATAGTGAAATCTAAACCATCCAAATTTAATATAATTTATCCAATCACTTGGAGATATCCTTGCATTTTTCCTTGGAAGAGCTTGGTCCTAAAAACATGTTTAGAATAATGGGATGGGATTTGGAAATTTCAATAGCATAATTATTATTAGTTCATTACCATCACTTAAGCATGTTAATCATTTTAAGTTACAAAATAATTGCCGTAAACATGCTTTAATCATATGATCAATCAAGAGACATACACATGGCCAAGGCATACTCAAACAACAATCACATAGCTTCTTCTTCTTTTTTCTTGTTTCATACCCAATCACGTAGCTTCCTTCTCATGCTAAAATAGGCAAATCAATTATATCATCAGCATAGCAACAATCAAATACATCATGAGTTCAAGAATAGTAAAGCTATCTTTGTAACATCCCAATTTTTAGTTTTAGGGTTAAAGTCCATTTTAGTCCTTAAAGCATTTGGGGAAGAGCACTCAATAGTCTAGAGTCCTTGTTGTAACAATGTAACCCTTTAAGTAGTTAAAACAAAACAATTTTTCCCTCGACATTAAATCTTCATGAAATCCATTAGTCAAGGTTAGTGGGATCTACTTTTTGAAGACACATGGTAGTAACTTGGCTCAATCAACATGCATCCTTCGATCAAGTCCTATAGCTCTTGCATGTTTTGAAGTTCAAATTTTTGGTAGTGATATGATTTTTTTTTTTCTAGTGTTTTCTCTCTTCCAGATCTAGGATCAAGTTGATATAGCATGGTAGCCATGGCTTCTTCCCTATGCTCTCCACTCTTATCCTCAAAATTTGCTTCCTTACTCCATTGTCATGTACTCTAGCCCTCAATGCTTTGAAGAAATTTGCACAAGGGCACGTGCATGGCACTGATGCATCCTTCTTTGGTGGCAATGGTTGGAAAGGAAGGAGGAATGATTTTGAGGAGCTTTGCTAGGGTTTTCTATTCATATCACCTAAGGGTTGCTCTTGAGGCTCTAAACCTTAAAAGTAAGCATCTAAACTCATCTACACCTCTCCAATTTCCATTTCAAGCAAGGGCTTTCATGGGTTTATGAGTAATTTCATGGTAGGTGAAGATTTGAATGATTAAATTGAGTTTAAATAGTTTGTTTTAGGTAGATTAGAGGTTAGCTGATGGTTGTTTGTGGTTTTGTAAGTTTGGGTGTTGATTTTATGGAAATCCTAAGTAGGATTTTGGGGTTTACGATGAATTTGAGGATTTAGAATGATTTCAAGGTTGTAAATGGTTTAGATGAGCTAAGTTATGATGGAAAGATTATGGGGTAAAATGAAATGAAGTGTGGACATGAGTTACAAGAGTTAGCTCGCTAGGATTAGTATAAATTATTATGTCAAGTGTGTGTTGATGAGAATTATTATAGTAATTGTAAATTTTCCTTGATTGTGGATCTTGGGCAAGGAGAAGCTACAATCTAAGTGTTGTAAGCTCAAGCCTAAGATAACCACATACAATTTAAAATTGTTTGCTTGGTTTATTTTGGTTACGAATGTTTTATTCAATGACTACTTTATTTTATTATAAGTATGCTTGATTATAAAATTGAAATATGAAAATATGTTGACTTTTACAAACAAAATGCTAGTAAGTGGGTCCTATATAGATATATTATGAATATTAATTAAATATTTTCTATGTTTTGAATTGAGATTTTGTATGGAAATTTTATTGTACATTGTTATATGCTAGCATGATTGATGTTTGAAATGCATGAGGGGTTAATTATTGGAAGTAAAAGAAATAGTCATGTCATATGGTATGCCACCATTATAGAACATAGTGGTTGGCCTTTTTTGTTTGGACCTCCGACATTGCCTTATTCGAGAGTTGGGGGTCTAATTAAGTGAGATGACACCTCTCTGATAAAAGGAGCCCATGGTTTGGTTGTAAGTCTTATAGCCTTTGTCTAGATTCTATCTCACAACCAAAGAACATGGATTAGTTCATTTTTTTAAAGGAGTCCTGTTTAATGTTATAGCTTATGGGTTCAGTAAGAGGTTTCAAATTGAACATAAGGAAGGTGTTGATAATCATGTATTTTATTTACCATCAATTTTGTATTTTTAAAAGATATTTGAACTATCAATTGTTAAACTTGGAATTTCTATTTGACTATCTCATATATCATGTAAAGGGTGTCCTAAATTAAGACTTAATCATCAGACAAACTATAGTAAATCAATGACTAACCCAAAAAGATTATCCTATAAGAGATTAAATTAAATAAATTCTTAACATGTATTTTCATAAACGATTCAATACAAAGGGATCCCAAGTCTTTAAAATATTTCAAAAACTCATATCATTCAATTAGACATATGTGGAAGCATGATAAAGGAAATACATTAACATGAGAGAAAAGCTTCTCCTTTTATTTTCTCTCTATGCCTTACTCCACAATATATATATATATATACATATTTACAATATAACACTTGGCCACTCAAACCCTTCAATAACTGGCAGCGGGGGGCCAAGGTCTCAATTACATTTATCACAATGACTATTACCTAATCATCATACTCTATATATCATCTATTCATCAATAACCTATGATATGCATGAATTTCCCTTTTCATTCACATATAATTAATATTAACTGCTCCCATTTGGACATTAAAAACACAAGGGGAAACCATAATAACATTCAAGTTCTCAAATTAAGTAGATATTAACTATTTTCACTTGCATAAATATTTTGGCCTGTTAATATAGCACAAGCATCAAACCACATTCCCCGAGGCCCAAAATACATTTTCATCCAATACAAAACCCATAATGCAAGTGAATCAAGAATATATTATTCTAGTTAGCAATATCATAAAATAAATACACATATCAAAATAAAAAGAGAAAGGCCTACATAAGTGATTACTATCACTTGGCCTAATGCTCCTTTCCTCTGTTTTTCTGATATGAGCTAGCTCCTGCAATATGTTAAAAGAGAGGGGTGAGTACAACTACTTAATAACCAAGGTACATCTAAATTATATAAATATATGATAATTAAGTATGAATGCAAGTGGCTAATAAATTTATCAGGGTGACCATGTAAACAATCACATTAATAACATGTTAATTACATTAACATTTAACTCATGTGAATAACCTCAAGAATAAAGTCAAGTATAAAATTTGCACAATTGGCCACATATACATTATTTGCATAATTACTACATGTTCTCATTTTTACAATTATAATCATATTCTCAACATAGCTATCAATCACTCAAATGGCTTGATAATAATAATATGCATGATCAATCTCTTCTTATATCCCCCCTTATTTTCTCTGACATGAAATCCATGGGCCAACAATTGAAAGGGATCGTCCATGTGGTGAGACTACCCAAAGCCTTAATCATATCATGAGGGGCCACCGGGCCAGGGTTACTTTACTCATTTATGGATATAGTTTTTCTCAAATCACACACTATAGGGTATCATACCCAAAACTAGCTCTACCCAAAATTTCAAGTAGGCCAGTAGGGTCATGTCCCT